AACCCAGCCCAGATCGTCTATATTACGTACTTTTGTCAAAGCTTTTGATACAAGCCTTCTAAGAGAATCCACTTCGGGGCCTAGAATAAAAGAAACATTCTACCCCCGTTTGGTTTTGTATATGTATCAGTTATTTTTCCCGTACTGCGCTATAACAGGATATAACAATACACGTAACTTTCAGTATTGTATGTATCGCTTGTCCACGTAATCAATATGGATCCCTTTTTCCCTTTGCCAAGCCACTAGCCGAGGAAACTCCACGGCACTTCTCGAACGGAGTGTGGCTGGAACGTTTTTTGTTGATTTCGTACCAGTACGAGAGTGGAAAGAGGTGGGAAGGGCTTGGGACCGGCTGTGGACGGCCGGATTTAGAAGGTGTCGATAGTTGGTGTTTATTTACTTCCTCAAGTGGTTGCTATGTGGACATGTACAATATTGGTCAATATGAGCGGATTTCTGTTCTCGTGTGCGTTGTATACGGCGAAATCTCAAAATCAAATAATTATTCGTATACACTTCGCAGCCTTTAATTGGCTTGTCTTTTGATAAATGACTCTCCTCTACGCGCCTTGCATTGATCCTGATCCTTTGATAAGTCGGTAAGGCTTTTCTGAGCCAAGATTTTAGGCGCCCCTTGCCTCTGGGCAATGCATGATGATGACAGAGCCTCGGGGAAGCGGGTCCCTTGTAGTGTTTATATCCCTCAATTTAAAGGTGGAGGTGCTTGATGCGCTTGTCGCACACATGTACTCCGTACAGAGTATATGCATAAGGGATGGTGGTGAAAAATAGAAGAAGAAATAGCATATAATGATATATTATCGAATTGTTCTCCAATACGCCCCTGAAGATAGCAAAACAAGAGGTTTGTGATACATGCAGTGGTCTGTTCCAACAAGGAGGGTGACAGAAAAAAAAAGTAACAAAAAAGACCACAGGGTCTGGCAATATACTAGAGGCGCCTGCGCACACTAGCAGCCAGGGGAGAAAAGTGAGATGTGGGGAATATGGAAAAAGGAAAAAAAGGATGTGCAAGGTGCAAGGACGAGAATTTTAGCGGGGGGAGAAACGCTTGAAAGCCAAAGTAGCAGCGAAGCCAGCGGCAAGCAACGAACCACCGATAGTGACGGCCTGGAAAGCAGCGTTCATCATCTGGTGACGGTTGCGGGTACTGCAGCGCTTGTAGAAGTCGGCCATGTCATTGCCACGAGGGAAGGGGGTGTCAGGGACCTCCTCCTCGAGGAACTCGCAGAGCGGGGCCCAGCCGTCGTTGATGTTGTATTCAAGCAGACGCTCGGGGGGAACCAAACTGCGGACCTGGGCGACATGATCTTCGTAGACTTGCTTGCCCTTTCCGGGGAAATCACCACGGAAGAATGTCTCGAAGAACTTGTTCAGCATGGGGTAGTACATGCCAGCGGCCCAACTGAAGTTTGACACAAACTTGTGCTCTGGGTCTGAGACACGCCAGAAGACGGTCTTCATGACGGAACTGGTGGTTTTGTTAGTATCGTGTTTAAGGCCAGAAATACAGATGTACAAGGTGAGACTGTGACTTACGCATGCCACGGTTCGACATCACGGGTGGTCAGAATGACCTTCGCATTGGGATAAGCCTCAATCAGCTCCTTTGCAAAGGCACAGGCAGGCCAGTCACAGACGGCCTGGCAGTCACCCAGAAGCTGGTCCCATTCCTTGCGGCCGAACTCGCCGATTCCGTCGTACTTCGCGTTCAGGGCATCGTGCCACATCAAGCAATCCGGCGGGTTCTCAACACTTGCGCACATCATGTGGTAGCACTTTCCATAGCCCATACGCTCAAGGGCCTTTCGGAGAGCTGTCAAATAGTAGTTAGTTTACATGTTTCTCGTTCCCATCAGACCCGGTATATACACCAATACACCTAAGTCCAACGCAACACAGCACATCATACTTACAGGCAGTTCCGGTACGACCAACTCCCAGAGCAAGAACCTTCATAGGCACTGTGCGGTGGCACTTTCGGCGGTCAATGTTTGTGTCATCGGTGAAGATGTCGGTCATGGGCTGGGGAGCCAGATTATCGGAAAGCATGAGAGACATGGTGGGGTGTGTATAAGCTCAATTGCAATTCGATATAGTTGAAGCTTTTTTTAGAGAGGGAGGATGTGTAGATGGTATAAACGAGAGGAGGTAATAGAGCTGGATAAAGAAAGGACAAGACTTATAGAAAAAGTCTAGAAGGAAGGGGGGTTTTATGAGGTTGATATGGAGACAAGGGGAAGAGTAAATGAATAAATGCAAATAAAATAAAAATAAAAAAGAATCAGCTAAAAAGAAATTCCAGACTCGGTAGTGAACTGATCCTCAAGGGAGATCGATACAACAATGAAGTAGAGTGGGCATTTGGTCACAGTGGCAGTGCCAATGACGAGCCTCGAACCACTTTTTCACAGTTCCCAACTAGTGTGTGTTGTATGTTGTATGTATATCTCCTATCTCCCCGCGAGTGGCAATCTTTCCACCCATTATGTCCGAGTCTTGGCTTTTGGCAATTCCTGCATTCCTGAAATCCGATTGTGCCCCATTTGGACAGGTGGATTCGAAAAAGCGAAAGCCCACGAGTGTATACGAAGCATGTCGTACCGTCGTACCGTCGTAGCGATAAAAGACATCAGGACACGTACCTAGTTGAAAATTCGTTGTATATCGAATGTACTGAGGCGCGTAGAGACACGACGTCACAAGCTGACGCACAGGGATGTCAAGGATTGTCAGGGGGTGAACATTTTGGTGGAGTTGAGTATGGTACAGTCTGTACGGAGTATGGTACTGGTTGTATGGTACAGTCCATGTGCAAAAACCCGAGAATTTTGGTACCGAAGGAAAAATTACCGAAAGTACTCCGTACTTAGTTGTCTGCCGCGCTGCCAAGACTTGATCCACGTACGCTTCAAGTTTCCCGAGATTGACAACCCATGCAATGCCGGTCATTGGTGGAGCATTAGATGGAAACGCGTACACCTTCAACTTGTGGAGAGTGCGTATTTCTGATTGTGAAGGCAGTGCCAGTTTGAGTGCATCATATACATCGTAGGCTCATAGATCATTGTAGACTCATCTACTATGTATGAGCCTGCAATGCTGTGTCGCTGTTTGACATCTCATATCCAGCACATCAAAGTTAAAACGGCTCGAATTGGGTCTGCCAAATTTGGCCCACAATATTCCAAGCAGATCAATCTCGCAGCTGTCCCGCCCAGGGCAATGTCGTTCCGGGTACGGAGTACGAGAACCCGGTGCCCCCGCTCCATCAGATTGATTGCATTTGGCTCGTTCGAGACTGTGGTTGCGTGTTCCACATGTCAAGCCGAGTCTAATTTCCTCTCACCACCGTGGAAGGTATGTAAGAGTTTCAGACAGTCGGGCACAATGGGGCCCTTCTCCTAGATCGTCCGGTCACACTGCCTATCACGGGAAAGACTACCTGCTCGATGTGTCGCGGACTCGAAGCCGTTATGACTCAAGTATCGGGTGAAGTTGGCGTTAGGTGTGTTAGAAACGAAGTTTCGTATGATTATCATCGCCAGGGGTATCAGCATCCGGTGGGTAATTTGTGAGGATTTCCGCGGTTCTGCTGTCACGCATCAGCACTGTCACGGCTGAACTGATCGTCCCGTGTTGCTGAGATATTTTCCATTGAGGGAAAGTACTCTCATAGACCCTGGCACTATCACGTGTCCAGTAAGATTGAACATGTCTGTGGGCTGTGTATGTATAGGCAGTTAGTACGATATCATAGCTATAACAGATGGTGTTGTTCCGGACAATCCATTTTGATATTGCCTGGGACGTGCATGCTGAAGTCAGAGTAGGGTAGACTCTTTATGGTCAGTCGAATGTAGTAAAAGCGAAAAAGACGACGAAGAAGAATGTACTCAGCAAGGTAGACCCTTTTTTAAGGGTCAACAGCGACAGAGCTCCTTAAATGTGATATGCCAAGACCATTAGGCTAACGCTCGCCATCGCTCGCCATCGACAGTTATGATCACCTCACCAAGCCAAGACCGATTAGGAAGTCCATCCATAAAATGGAAACAACTTTACAATCTAATCTAAGCTTAAGGCTCCTAGGTTGGTCCATTGAGCCAGGTTTGCGCATTCCGTGTCCGCCAGACACCCGCCCGGCAGTGTTTTCGGTAATCAGTGACAGCACAGCTATATCCCGCACCATGAACTAGTGGTTCCCGTGGAGGTGCTGGCGAAAAGAGAACACGGAAAAGCTTGGCACTAAGCTGTTACCCCCATAGAGTCGTATCTAAGCTTCACAGGTCTCAACTTTCTTATATACTTGGAGCAGGTTAAATTATAACTATATTTACTTCCTTGTACAAGAATATGTGATCTTGCATGTAAGCTAGCATCTATATACGTTCCCCACGGTCTCCTATAACACTATAAACAAAACATACTTTTAATCAGTAGTACCCGTGGACGTACAACAGAAGATTACAAAGACGAAGACATACCCACATAGGTAGCCATGGTGAAAGACATACATGGATGAAATTACATAGAACTAACTCGAAGAACCTAGAACGGATTCTGTGGGTTTTGCATCTTGAAAAATCAATATATCCTGCTCGGAGAATATCCCATTTACCATATAAACCTGAGACTACCTAGGTGGGGTAAAGACGCTTAGTCTGAAAAGCCCCGTCATCCGCAATGGGCAGATAGACTAGAGGGAGAACTGTATGCAGCATACTCACATGACCTGTGATTTCGACATTGGCCCCTAAGTAGTGGCATGGACTGTACTGATGATTTGATATCTCCAGAATAGTCCCTCCTAATATGAACATGAACAGCACTAATAGTGTCTGAAAGCCACCGATACACCTGAAACTCCATGCAAATGACTGTTTTTTTATTTCATTTGTCCAATGCAGTCGGGTCCGCAATCGATAAGGGTCCCCGTATCGTTCCCGAATCCGAGTATCAAGCAAGGTTGTTTTCTACTCCAACTTATCCAGGTGTTCCAATCGCGTGAGAACGACCTGCTTGCTTGTCTCTTGAATCTCGCCTGCGAGAAAGACTTCGTCCAGGATAGCGTAGACCTATAAATCCGGCACACGTGGTCAGTATCATGGCTCGTGCAACTCCGATCCCACGCCAGCCCCGGTTCATGCCGACTAGTGCATTCACCCCAGCGACTTGTACGCACCTTGTAGAAATTAAAGACCAAATCCAGCTCGCACACATTGCCAAAGAATTGGTCCAGCACTTCGACAAAGAAATGGATAGCCTCGAGATAGGCTAATTCGTTGTCATTCGCGTCGACGCAGACGCAAAAGAACAAGCCAGCATATCTTCGGTAGACGACCTTGGTACTCCGACGGAACTCAACAAAGTTGGACTGGTATTTCTGATCTCGGGGGGCGACGAGGCGATGGACCTATACGGTTGTCGGTGGTTAGTTGGATGGGAACCTCGGAGCAAGTGCGGGTGTGGGTGGTATTGCATGGACGAACCTCGCCTTTCAATTTGACTTTCTCTTCATCCTGTAAGCTGGTGTTAGTTCAAAGTTCCAATTATGTATTGACTGATGGGTTCTGGTAGCACTCACACTGTACGGTGAATACCATTTCGCCAGGCGCGTTTTCCCCCTATACCGTCATTAGCGTCTGAGATCGAAAATGACCGGGGCGGACAGCCACTCACTGGCGATTCTGAACCAGGATAAATGAGAGAACCATTGCGATAGAAAGCCAGGATGTCACCTGGTCAGCATTTATGAAACCACTCGGGGAGTGTTGTGACAAGCTTTCGATGGTCTCCGCTGCTCCCGTTATCGAAGCTCCCCTCCCATATTGCCCGGACTCACCGCCCAGATCGGACTCTATAGAGATGCAGGTGAAATACGTAGAAGCGCATAATGGGGAATTATAGGAAATTATTCTACTAAATCTGCAAGCAATTTGGTTCCCATGAGACATCCAATACATCAACTGAACTAGTATAACAATATTTGCAAAACATAGAGTATCAACAGACATAAAGCGTAGAATTCGTTAAAAGCTCCTCCCATAAAAGCCCCGTGTAACACATGGAACAACGAGGCAACGAGTGACACTGCGTGGTGACGGAACAAATGGACCTGATTTGCCATGTTCCGTAGCACTCAGCCACAGTTCTCACCCCGAGCTCATCCGATTCCAGAACCTCGTTAGACGAGTCTAGAAATACCCCATTAGCAACCACGTAGATGTAGCAGTGAGACTGGGAGGAAGTCCGCAAAAAAAAGGAGGAAAAGAAGAAGCCGATACACCACAAAATAAAAGAAAGGAACCACATACCGTATAGCTCTGCGGACTAGTAGGCTCTGTAAAGCTATCCCCCTTCTGGCTCTGGACCTGACTCTGGCTCTGAATCTGGCTCTGAATCTGGCTCTGAATCTGGCTCTCATCCTCAGATTCCTCCTCAGACTCATAATCCTCTTCGTCCTCAGAATCAGGAAACCACCGTTCAGGATCTCCATTGTAAACAAGATACCAACCGATCTTCTCACCGGGGGCTAGACGATCGCGCAATTCCTCCAACGCCGCCGTCTGGTCATCCGTCAACCCGGATCCTTGTTCCACGCAATCCTCAATATTCTCTCCGCCACAACTACCACTCCCATCCTCTGGAATCTCTAGAACCCGCGTCGAAATATACGCATGATCCTGGCTGACGGTGCCACTCGACTCGTCGGCGGGGTCATACTGCTCGATAAACGACAGCTCCGGCAGCCGGGTCACGAGGTCCGCTTGTGTTTTGTGGAAGGATTCTGCGAGCAGCTCGGTAGTCAGCGGTTGCTGGATGTATTCCGCTGCTGCTTCTTCCAGATTGTGGAGTACGATGTATACGCGGATCCCCGTGAACCCGGCGCGGGGCCAGCGGAAGCCGTGGAGCATATACACCGGCATAGTAATTGGCCGTTTCTCTTTTGGGGCCTTTTTCGGGGGTTCGGGGGGGAGAGAACTGTCGCAGTGTCAAGCAACCACTAGCTGGGGAGGACGATCGGATTCGCAGGGGATTCGGAGTTCATATTAGGTCTGTGTCATGGCTCGTGTGTTTTTCGGGACGGGTGGTGTGTTGAGCGCGATTGGGTTTTGCGGGTCCCGTGCGTAGTTCCAACGGGGGTTTCGATTTGTACTGCTTTAATATGCCTCCAATATTGGATGGAATTCGATATTAAGGCAATATATAATCAGCCTGTTTCATTAGATTTGAGGTGATCACTGGAAACCCACAGGTCTGGAGAAAGGGTGGTCGTGCCTTGCTTCTATCACGTGTCATATGGCTTTTATGTAGTCCCTTATAGATTGGCCACGGTATAGGCTCTTAGTGCTCTCTATTATACTCAATTGACACACTAGCAGCTATTTTATTCACGGTATAATCTATTAACAAAGTAGAAATGTGCTAATTCCAATGTAACATTGTCTCAGATTCGTTTGCTCTCAACGTTGGAAGTACGGAGTCTCCAACTTCGGAGTTCCGCACTGAATATGACCTATCATACTCGGGGAACCACTTAGTCTAATTTAAAACCTACTATTTAACGGGTAGCCAGTCAACTGTAATTAACGCAAATCGTTTAAAATGAGGAGATGTGATGCATTATGCAGGGCCAGAGCCAAGACATTCGACCTAGAGAAACCCTGTTCAAGGCACTGGAAAGGAAACCGACATGAAAAAACGGCTAAAATCAAGACGCTAAGTACTAAGTTCTGATGGATATTGAGACACTGAGCTTTTCAATCATGGTCTCCTCTTCAAATCCGCAAATCTTCGTGTCAGTTCATCCAGCTCGGGTATCCCACTGTTGTTACTCTTGCTCTTAGAGGCACCATCCTCCTTTGGAACAGCAGCAGCTCTCCCCTCTGTACCAGGAAGCTTGACTCTGGGATTGGGATTGTCGGTTCTCGGAGCCGGCGGCGCAACGCTAACAGGACTTCGGCCCGAAGCGAGTCCACGTGGAGGAGTAGCTTTGGTCAATTCACTAGTCTCCGAGGCACGTCTCGCTTCAGAGAGGTTCGGCCTCAAGGCCGATTCTCCTTGCTGCTTGCCAGGAGTTTGCGGTAATTGTAATTCCTCTGCGTCACCATCACCACCATCACCGAGGTCATCCACAAATTCTGGCGGCGCACTTCCTAGCTCTTCTTCGGCTCCATACCATTCAACACCGTATGCTTTCGCAATTTCTCGAAGATAACTCTCAACCAGTTCCTGTCCTGGCGGACGCACACGCAAGCTCTTGAGGAGCCGATCCGGAACCTTGACAGTATCGACCTTATTATCTTGCGCCAGAGTCATAAACTCCTTGCCGTATCGCTCGCCCAGCATAGTGCGAAGCATAGTAAATTCGCGCACCTCGTGCGGAAAGCGATGCCACGCGTAGAAGACCACAGTAGCAGCCTCGTCGAGAGCAGTATCCATGTAGGGATTATCTTCATCCGCAAGCCCATCACCGGAGTCTTCTGCCGCACTACCAGAAGCTGTGCTGGGCGCAGCCCGTTCAGCCTCCTTCCTCTGCCCTCCTCCCAGCCAAGAGAACCCAAATATCGAACCAGTGCTTTCCCCAGCGCCCTTGACGCCTGCCGCAGTTGATCCTGTAACACCAGCTTGTTCCTGTGTGCGCTTCTTGAGCAATTCCTTGGCGCGAAGTCTGGCGCGGGTCCCCTGATCGCTGAAGGCCATCTGATCCAGCACGTTTGCGCGCGCCAGCAGCAGCTCACAGTAGAGCTCGACCATCTCCATTACTTCCACCGCGATATCGGTTGCGATGACATTTTCAACTCGAATGCGCGCTGATGTATCGCGGCCTTCGCTGAGGAGATGGGAGAGTTCGCGGCGTTGGACGACTGAGGAGGCTGTGTCTTTCTTTTGGAGGAGGCGGAGACGGGGGATAAGCAGGCGGAGGGTGGAAACTAGTCTAGTCTTTGATTCCATCTTGTTAGCAAATTTGGTTTCTGTATCAGACGCGCATGGGAGTTGCAGGGTAGGCAGGCATTATGTGCGCAGTGCGGGGTAGCCTTGGGACCTTTAGGTAACGAGACTTAGGGGAATGACTCGATCATGGAATGAGTATGTAAAAGAAGAGAAAGCAAAGAATAGTAGGCCATGATTTCTTACCGTTTGAGCCGAGGGAGGCATTTTGGCGTGATAAGTTGTTAGAAGGGAAGATGTGAGGGGGAAATGGAGGCCGGGGCCGAGAGACCTTGGGGTCACCACTTTATCCGTTTATCCTTTGTTTTCTCACTTTTGAAACTTGAGGAAATTCCACAAAACTCAAACAATGGAATGATGATATGCTAATTGGGTATTTGGAGTATTCTGGGTGTTCTCGGAGTTCTGGGTGTTTGGGGAATTCGGGGTGACCGTTTCATAGCTTTGATATCAGCGCCTTGTTTCCTGAGTTTCTCCTTCTCCAATGTATCGGTAATAGCCTGTTTGAGATCTTCGGTGTAGACGAGCCATTTGTGGATCTCCTTTGTCTGTCTGTTGCAGCGGGCTGTGATCTCATCTAACAATAAATTGAACTCATTCGAGGTCGTCGTCTCGACGCTCTTAGCGGAGCATTCTGAATGTCATCAGGATAAAAGAACTCGAAATTTAGACAATGACTTACCCTGGACGTGGTATTCCTCCATATTGAAGAAGCTTCGGGTACTAAATGATGTGATGAATGGGGGGAATGGATGAGATGGGATAGAGAGATGTGGTGTAGAAAGATTAGGACAGGCAGCTTCCTGGATTCTAGAGAATCGACGAACAAACTCAGGTACATATGTGTATGTAGTAAGTTAAGTTTATGATTCTAGTTGCTTTGTGTGTGACCGTGACGGTAATCTTTTGCTATCTCTGTCTTCGCTATCTTCATTTATCATACCTGTTTTATACCTTCCGTGATTCTTATGGGCTTAAGATGATGGGGCATTATATCCTAGATATATCTTAGCTATCCATCTTTTTCATATCTTTTCTTGTGGACCTAAACCTCTGCCATAGATGCTTTGCCACCGTTTTTTTATACTTACGGAGGCTTCCGTTTTAGGAAGTTGACGGGAGTGGATCTCGATCCAGAGTACTTCCAACATTGACAGCGAGAAGTCAACCTTTGGAAGAGCGAGAAAGATATAAACACCCTCCCAATCTCAATTTTCTCTTTTCAAACCAATTCCGACACCAAGCAAAATGGCTTATAACAACGCCCACCCTTCCACCAAAGCATTGCATGCAGACGATGCCTTGAATCTAGTGACCGACGTCGCGCCCCCAATCCATCTCTCTACAATCTTCAGATACCCCAATGATCCAGATCAGCTTATCCCATCCGAGGATCCGGTGGTACGTCTCAAGACAACACACATACATCCATATTCCCAATTAACAAGCCCATCTAGGATGAATTCAACGGCAAGAACTATGTCTATTCCCGCGAATTCGCGCCAAACGCAACCCGCTTCGAATCAGTCCTCTCATCCCTAATAGGCGGCAACGCAGTGAGCTACTCAACAGGTCTAGCCGCCCTGCACGCCGCTCTCACACTCCTCAACCCGCGCCACATCTCCGTCGGCGAGGGATACCACGGCAGCCACGAAGTCATCGCGGTAGTGTCCCGTCTGTCTGGGCTACAGAAACTCGCTCTCGACTGTCCCGCCGAAAGCCTAGGTCCCGGCGATGTCATCCTACTAGAGACGCCCGTCAACCCACTGGGGACGGCGTTCAGCATCGAGGAATATGCGCGCAAAGCCCACTCCCGCGGCGCATTCCTCATTGTCGATAGTACATTTGCACCGCCTGGTTTGCAGGATCCGTTCCTTTGGGGTGCGGATATTGTCATGCATTCCGGGTCGAAGTATTTCGGTGGACATAGCGATCTGCTCTGTGGCGTGCTTGCTACGAAGCGTGCCGATTGGACGAAGCGGTTGTTTGAGGATAGGATCGCTCTTGGGAGTGTGATGGGGAATATGGAGAGTTGGCTTGGCATCCGGAGTCTGCGAACGCTGGAAGTGCGGGTTCAGCGGGCGAGCCAGAATTCGGCTAGGTTGATTTCCTGGCTTCATGGTGCTATGCAAGCATCGTCTCCTGCTGTGGGTAGTGAGGAGATGGTTGTTCAGTCGGTTGTACAGAAGATTCACCATGCTAGTTTGCAGAATGAGCAGTGGTTGCAGAAGCAGATGCCTAATGGGTTTGGACCCGTCTTCTCTATTGTCTTGCACAATGAGCAGTTTGCGAAGGTTTTTCCAACTAAGCTTCACTTCTTCCAGCATGCTACTAGTCTTGGTGGGGTCGAGTCTTTGATTGAGTGGCGGGCTTTGTCGGATCCCAGGGTTGACCGGAAACTACTGAGAGTTAGCATTGGACTAGAGAACTGGGAGGATCTGAAGGATGACTTGCTGCAGGCATTCAAGTCGCTTTTGGGATGAAGCTTAGTTGATCTTATGTTTTTGTGCTAGGTTATATGGAGATTTTGGTTGACGTATTAAATGCCTGGTATGTCATATCAAAAGGCAGTCACGACCCAAACGACCAATATCAAATATCCACCGCGATGGAGTCTCCAAGCCTTCTTCCTGGTCCCAATACTCCTTCAGGATCTTCGCTGCATTGACAACATTCAAACAGCTCGTAGCAATCCAAAATTTCTCTAAAGATTCTACCAAAAAGTCTTTCTGGGCCCGGGACTGACACTCCAAGCCCGCAACAAAGATAGCCCACAGAACGCATTTGAAAAGCGCCTCATCGTCTCTCAAAGTGTCAATTAGGCCCAACAGCTCAGAAACCAAATCGTCTTGCGAGGTGATGGTTTCCGTGAGTGCATCAAGAATTCGTCTCCCATATAGCAAAGCCCCGATTTTGAATGCCTGCGACAATGTACAGATATTGTTGGTTTCATCTGCGGAAGACTGTCTCGAATGCCGGAGACTCGAAGCCCAGGCGTAGGAGTCAAAGTTTTGAATAATTTCCATCATCGCCGTGGTATCTTGTATATGTGTTTGGAGAGCGACACCGTCAGGCCGCTGTCCTGCGATGGCGTCCCTTTCGTTGGAGAGAAATTGTATCGCCGACAACAGGAACTCCGGACATCCAAGGAAAGATTGTTCAATTTCTTCTTGGGATTGCCTTTCTGTTTGGCCGTCAAATATAAATCCCGACAGCAGCTTCGGTCGTAAAAATGTTGCTCCCAGCGTTTCAATTCTATTTTATAGCCAGTCAGTCTCTCGCGTGTCATTATACCATCCCTTAGGCTTAGCATAACTCACAAATGAATCTGGTTGGATATAAAACTCCAGATCTGCTGTACAGTCTGGCCAGGTCCATTATTAACTCCAGCTTGTGCCTCCAGCAGCGGGCGGTGGGATGTAATAAAACTTTTCACACCCTCAAGATGAAAATTCCAACCTTCACTCCCAGATTCGAGAAGATCCAAGAAAATAAACAGAAATATGCTAGCAACGGTGGTGTCACTTTTTGCTATTTTTCCGTCGCTAAGTACCCGGGAGAGGGCTTCCATGGCTTGATGTTTGAAAAGTAGCGCATCGCGATTGGCATTAATGAGGCCAACCGATGTCGAAGCTTGAATTTGATGGAATGACTGGCCTGTATTGGCATGATGTCGCGCAGCGAGAGCAAGTATGCCCTTCTGCAAGACCATATCGTTCAATCCAAAGGAGATCAAACTCCGGAATGGATTTCTGGCGCTGTCGTATACAATGAACAATTTGCATATGCGTTCGCTATCTGAATGCGATGTCAGCTATTGATACCCTGGTGTTAGAGCTTTTCGTGCAGATCTTACAGTAATCTATATAATATTTGGAGGTTTGATCCAGGTTTGACATGAACGGGTCTTGCAAGGTAACCGGCAGGGTTCTACTGGCAGCAGAAGTCTGGACCAGCGCGCGAGGCGATCTCTGCGGGGTCGCTTGAACAGATTTGGTAGTTCTAGAAGTATTCACAGTAGTACCATCTGCCATACCCTCATACGAATGGCCTTGCATCTTTCCGCGAATGGCCACGCCCTTGACCCATCTCAGAGGTCGTTTGTCAAAGCATTCCACGCCGGCCTTCTCGCACTTGGCGCACGGTGTTCCGGACTGGTCGCATTGAATACGGCGGTTGCGACATGTCCAGCATGGACCGCATACTGTCTCCATTTGGATATGGCATAGGGAATGTGTAATGTGGCGAAGAAAGGTATAAGATTCGCGGTCCACTCCAGAGCCGGAAGATTTGCTGACTGAGCCGACCGGCTATACCCGTCAAGGTCAATTTTTTAGATCCACCACGACAACATTTTAGACCTGGGTCTTTTAATACATCAACTCCAAAAATTCAGCTCATACTCTCATGCTCTGTGTCTATTATTTCTGATCTGCTTGAAGATGAAGAAGAAGAACACGAGAGACAGCATAAAAACATAAAAAAGAGACCAAAGAGATCTTTCAATGACAAATAGGATCTATAGAACTAGCGAGAGGCTAGTCAGCCCTAATAAGTATCGATGTCTCTTATCATGGGTGTTTCTATTTTTGTTTTCTCTTAATTTTATCTACATGATACGACCCCGATATGGATACATCCTCTAATTGATAATCAAAGCCCCTCTAAAGGTCATATTGTACCATGTGGTAACAGATGATAGACCGTTGAATCGAACTCTACTGATTCGGAGCAATATAACTATCCATTATACTACCAGACCAGAAACTAAATCGGAACTGTTGGACAGCCCTGAGCGAGAGAAGAACCAAAGCTACGATACTCAGTTGATCACTGGGTAGGATTTCAACAAGGCTGGTCGCAAATATACACCTTTGGAGCTGTTTTAAAGGAAGAAAAGATGGATGTAGCTGGGCTGAAGTATTCACACCACAACTTAAACGTATAGCGAGCGACATCGGGGCTCTCAGGGTAACATTTGACGAGTCAACAAGATTAGCAACGGAGAGACCGAGTCATCTGAGACATGTAAGACACAAATAATCACTTACAGCAATCCCAAGGCCTTGAACTGCCGTAACCAACGCGAGCCCGGCGGCCCAGGGGAAAGCACCGGGCACCGTCGAGCCAATCAAGCACGGCATACAGCAAAATCACACCACGGAAAGCGAGACTAACCCACTATAGCACATGGTACCTGTAATTTGGGGGCCGAAAGGCGGTCCGTGAGAAATAAGAAGAGAGAAGGTTGCTGCACGGTTATAGTCCGTCAAAATCCATGTACATATTTAGAACGTCTAGTCCATTTTAGTCGATCCAGCCCCATCTTAATTGGTCGACCCACCAGCCATTGAGCCACGCTGATTGGTCCGCTCGGTTCCTGACATCATTGGCGTGGGAATCTGGTGCCGCCATGCCTATTTAGGAAGAATGTCATGTACCTTAGGGTTGGTTTTAGCAATCTCTTCGCGTTTCAGTGTTGCTTAGCTGTAGATGTGAGGTTTTAGCGTGCAGGTTATCCTTATTTATATAGCTGTCAGAATTCGCACATCAAGTGTAGTCTACTGTTCCCTATCTCTATAAACCAATCTCAATCTCCTCGGAACAATTACTTCGAATCGATATTTGCATACACCACAAAGGAACCTTGGAAGTTTCTGACATTTACATCTTCTCTCGACTACAGTGTGTGCTTACCCAGCCCCATAACATGCCCCTTATGTCCCAATAGCTAACGAGACCCTTTATTTTCTACAGCCTCTCAAACCACAATGCCTGCCATCCCACCTACATTAGAGACAACAATCATACAAACATCCACAATGAATGAAGCCACAAGCCTGTTCAAGCGCAGCGGGGTGAACCCTGATCAATACGCCCTCTACATCTTCCTCATTCTCGCCGGCTGCATTGTGGGAGGACTTATCGGGTTCAGTATATACACCATGTATCATGGTCTTGACGACACAGAGTATATGAAGGACGTGTCTTACGAGCAACGAAAATACATGCGCGAGGCCAGACAGCGGTATTTGAACATGTTGGCAGTTGAGGCGAGGAGACCTGATATGATTGTTCCCATCGAGGAATTAAATATTTGAATTGCTTGGGTTTGGCGTTTGGAATGGGGATGTTCACATGTGAACTGGAGGCAAGGACATGTTCGGGATCCACCTGTTTATCAGCATTTTGGTTTGGTGTACATCACATGTGAGCAACTGGTAGTGATGGTGCATGTACAGGGTGTATCTTATATCGGAACGAGAACAATTTCAATATTTGTTTATATTCAATTTACCAAGTATTTCAAGGACAGTGTGGTGCTAGACACGAAGGATCAAAACAAGGATGAATGGTGAAAGAGTGCTCTGTATAATCAACAAGGGTGTGTCTGAGATCTTAAAAGATCACTGTAATAAGGATTGACAAATTAAAGAACAAACAATAGTTTTCCCGAGTCAAACAAAAAGCGCTGGTCAGTTTCAACCCCAACCAGTCGTCATATGTAACAAAAAACAAAACCCCCTGCGTACCAGAAGCAATAGAAAGGGATATTCAACAAGCTGAAAAAAAGCGATGCTGAGAGCAAAGGGATATAAAAGTCATGAAGCAGAGTAAAAAAAGTCCAACGTTGAGCGTCGTCAATCAAGGGCATCCAAGGGATGTGAAGAATCATAAAAAGGGGGGGATTATGTAGAAAAAGAATTAAAAATGTGAAAAGAATCAAACAATATTAGATACCTGCGGAGTTTCAATTAGATTGATTTCCGCAGGCAAATATAGTGCAGAAAGGAAGCCCCACGGTGGTGTCTGTACACACCTCGTACATATATGCAATATTGTACGGTCGATATAGCTGAATCAGTCGGACCTGATTTACAAGTTCACGACCATGGCGGCAAGGGCACCGAAGGCCAGAGTCAGCATGGAGACGGTGGCGCTAGTAGCACCGCCAGTGGTGGAAGATGTGGACGCAGCGGCAGCGGCAGCGGTCGTCTTGGAGGCCGCTTGGATGTCAGCAGAACCGGTCAGAACGTGCGGCTGGTAGGTATAGCTTAGTGTCGAGCTCGACTTGGATAGGTAGGCGCTGGGGCTAGTGATGCTCAACACGGAAGTCGTGGAAGTGGAGCTAGCAGTAGAGGTGGAGCTAGAGGTGGAGCTAGCGGTAGAAGTGGGAGTCGAGGTTGAAGTCGACGAGGGAGTAGAGGTGGAGGTGGAGGTGGAGGTGGATGTCTCAGTGGTGCTGGTGCTAGTGCTGGTCGGGGTATGAGTGGTGGTCGAGGTGCTAGTGGTAGTGCTCGTGGTGGTGGTGGTGGTGGTGGTGGTAGTGGTGGTGGTGCTGGAGCTAGTGGTGGTGCTGGAGCTGCTAGTGGGGGTAGGAGTACTAGTGGAAACCTCAATGGTCTCAGACGAGGTGCTGCCGTTACCCTCCTTCTCGAAGACGATGATGTGCGCGGTCTCGCCCTTGGGGATGGTCACGACGCAGCCGGTGGCGCCGCCAGCGCCAACGAAGGGCGTACCGATCATCTCGTTGACGTCGTTGACAGCAGGGTCGATCTTGCAAGGCAGACCGTTGCAGCCGTCACCTTCACACTCAATCTCGATACCGAAGTCGGGCTTGACATTGCGGAAGGGCGTGGAGGCTTCCAAGTAGATAGGGTTCCAGCCGATCTTCAGGAAGGTGTTTCCACTGTCATCGGTGTTGGCACCGGCGGTGTATGGGGACCAGTTACCGACGGGGTTCGCGGAGGTACCCCAGATACAGCCTTCCTCGGCGGTGACACCAGGAGCGTTGATGTAGTACTGGGCAGCAGTGGAGCACCAGTAGGACATGCCGGGCACGGCCAGATCGGCCAGCGTATCAACCATGGTAGGGATAAGCATAGCCTCGTTTCCGGGCAGTACAGTCTGGCAGAAAGAGACAGACTTTCCAGCCTTGTTGTGGGCCTTGAGAACACCAGTGGCCGACTCACAGTAGTCACGGTTGGGGAAGGGCTTGTGGATTTTGCCGTCATCGTCACAGTACAGACCACCCCTCATGGACATAGGGTAAGAGTAGGACGTCGCCTTGGGATCCCACTGCATAGACACCTGACCAGGAGGGCAGGCGTAAGGGCAGTAGTTGCCAGGTTTGCAGGGCTCGTCGGGGCTCATAGCCCAACCGGCGTTTTGCTCATTTGGGGTGATCTCAACCAGGCCAGCGTCGGAGGGAAACTCGCACTTTCCACTCCTCTTTGCCATAGCCACATCACGACTCTCGTGGTTATGGCTCTGGCCATGGCTATGTTTGGCGGCTTCAGCGCTCGCAATGAGGGCGACAAGCGCCGCTGCGCGGAAGGACGTGATCTGGAACTTCATCGTGTCAGGGGGAAAAGACTTGGCAAATTGATAAGATCAATAAACGAGTGAATATATGAAGCGAATGGCTAAGTCAAACGAGTGACAGAAGGATACGGCCGATGGCCAGGGACAGACGCAGTGCTCACAGGGAATGAAGGTCAAGACGAGAGAAAGGAAAGAAACGGGGAAAAGCACCAGGAAAAGGAACACGGCCACTAAGGAGCAGGGTCCCGGCTCAGGTCCACGAGTGTGCTAGCCTAAAAAAGGCGTTAGATCTGGGATCTGCGCGCAATTCCGGCGCCGAGCAGACTTCAGGAGCAGCCCTGAATTTTCATGAGCGGCTCGTCCATGATTGCCCATATTTCCCATTGTTGTAATTGCTCCCCCCCGAAACTGGAATTATGGGTGCAGCCTTGGACCCCCAAAAGCTGTGCCCCTGAAGCAGACTCCACTAGTGGGCAGCCACATGGAGCCACTAGACACTTAGTGTCAGGGGCAGAGATAGCCTGCAGCCAATGATGAACGCCATTACCCCGATGGTTCCTGCTTGGCAGGGGGGGCAAGGCCAATAAGCAAAGAGATTTGCTTTGTGGAGTTGTCTTCCGAACTCTTTCAACGGCGAAAAAGCAAACTATCAATTCACAAATGATGAGTGTGGAGGAGAGTGGAGGAGGAAGGGGAACGCGTTGCTAGGCGCAACCTTTGGGAACCTTGGAGATCTTGTCACATGATATCTCAACATCCAATCTTTTGAATTTGTAACCTTCTGAGGGTATAATCATTGTTGGAATACATAAAAAACAAACCAAGTGAACCCAGAAGCATCGTATGTTGGTTGTATGCACATCAAAAGGAGAGAACTCCACCTAAGCACATGAATGGGGAAGCAGGCTAATATTCCCAAGTGGAATTGGCCTAGTAGCCCGTCAATCCCAATCAAATCCACCACACTGTACCGGTCTGGAACTGTTGATCATTACAAGTGGACTCTCGATTCTCTTTGATAGGTACATAATCATATGGCCAAGATATCCGAAGCCTTAGGAACGTATTGTCCCGACTGCCAATGTGTCGCTTGGTGGCTTGGTTAAAGCTTGGCCTAAGAGAGTATGGAGTTTTTGATGGCATAACGAGGGATCAATAGGATCACCGCTGTGATAACTTTAATCATGAGCTCCATTAGATGCTATGCACAAGACGTGCCATAGTTTCGCAAATTGTAATAAAGGTCGGAATATCAATGCAAGAAGCATGGAGTTGATTTAATATGTTATGCAGGTATCGAATGTCGATATCTTGGATAAACTGTGCTAATTATATTAGAATGTTCAAATCTCTCTGAGTTACTCTATACCTCGCTGAGGACCAAGACCAAATAGGTGAATCTACTTCTTCTTTATACTTTTTCAACCCGTGATTTGTGGTGATATATTTGTCGGATAGCTCAGTACCCAGCCCTGAACGGTAGCGATCCTTGCATTAGCTTTGATCACATCCTGCTACGGCGGGTGCTACGAGTGGAAGTCAAGAAAGGCAATGCATCACGCATGATAAACAGGAAGTTTCTTTTGAGTTTGCTGCAAGGACTGTTGATGTTCCTCGCATAGTGAGTATCCACTCAGCCTATCACTTAGACTTCGCGGGGCCCCAGTGCATTTGACAATATATGACAGGTCGCCTTGACACAACCACACCGTTATATTGTAAACTCAATTCCTATTACTGGTGTTAAGGTTTATAGATCTGCGGTTGGACGAGTAAACGATGGTGGGAGGATAGGGTTGCGCTTTAGACTTCAATATAATATACAGGATCAGTCGGTTGGTCGGTCTTTCTCACTAGTCAAAGTCACCTATGCAGACATAAGAGGGATTGCATCGCCATCTAAATTTACTTGGTAGATACTGCATCGTCTTTGACAGGACTTCTTGGCCTAAATTCATGTTGGTTTGTATTTTCAGATATGCATCATGACCTTTCGTTATAGAGCTGTATCATCAGACATCAAGTATTCACAAATGAAGCTACTCGCCTTGCTGGGCCTCGAGGTCCTTCCACCCAGCAAAAGCTGGGACATCATCACGGTCTCTCCATCCCCAAGCAATACAATAATGCCGTGCAAGCAACTGCCACTCCTCCATCTCGTCGAGCATCTCTAGCCCAGCAACTCTTTCCTTCTCATCCTCATTAACCCACCGCTTCCAAATAAACTCAATGTCAGCCGCAGACTGACCATCACCAAAGCCCTGATCTTGGAAGCGGCATCGCTGTGCCTCAAGCGACGCATACCGAGATAGAGTCTTGAGCTGGATCCCTCGCGCTGCGAGGTTCGATACCATCGTACGACCAAAGGCATCATTCGGCCGAATAGGCTCATAAAGAATCAACCCTAACGGAGCGACGTTCGCCCGCGACTCGTGCAATATGTTTTCAGGTCCAGGTCCCGGCTTCCCATGACCAAAAAGCCGTTGCGTGAAGAACGCAACCACCTGCTCCGCTTCAATGGGCGATAGGTAGACTAAACAGCACTCGGAGATCAGCAAAGTCGGCAATCCCGTCTCCACGCCTGGCAGTGCTGCAGCAGGGTCACTGCATGTCGACAGCGACCGCAGATCAACTGGGTGGACATGATACGAGGGCGAATGCAGCGCATCCCCGGCCTCCGACACGGTCACTCTAGTATCTTTTTCCGACGAACCCTCCGACGAGACAATCCCCAACGCAGTCTGCAGTATAGGAGCCGACCTAATCGCACGGATCTTCTCCGCCGTATTGACGGCAAAATCGAGCTCGTGATAAACGAAGTCTGGGGTTTGGCGCGACGAGAGAAGTCGGAAGACGCGCGTGTCCGACCCGGCACCTAAAGATATGATCTGTTTCTTTTGTGTATTATCTGGTGAGCTGGGACCGAGGAAACGCGCCACGAGCTGGTCGATGGCTGTTGTGCGGGCGTAGGTTCCTGGTGCGGCGGGAGGTGTCCCGATCAGCCATAGGCTCTCTTGGCGTTGGGGATAGTATAGTTTGAGAAATTGGGGCTCACCTCTGTTGATAATTGGCAATCTTCGCGTCGCTGACCCAGCGGGTGTCAATGCTGCTGCGTACACATCCTCTAGGTATCCTAGCTCGACCGCGCTGAGGCGGGATACGCTTGCGTCATTGTCTGTGCCTTGAACGATGCGGTCTTTTCCAGAAGGGAGTCCGGCTTCTTCTGTGCGACCTATGCCACGACCTCGGCCTCTGCCTCGACGGAGAGTGTTTAGGTTGGGAATGTGAGAGGCCATGGGGAATGGAGGAAGCTTGGAGCTTGGGCTTCCGTGGTGGGGTAGCTATCTGCCCAGGCATGAATATCCCCGGTTAATTTCATGATTTCTCCGTCTTTCTAATATTTCCATGTCAGTTTCAAATTTATATATCTTTCATCAAATTATTCCATCTGCATCCTCCCCCCTACATCTGTCGTATTTGATCAAGTCGGTGGCTCCAGCCCTAATCTTCATTGGTTCAACCTTGGAAGCTCTTCATGCTTATAAAGCCAGTGAATTATTTATTATGTTCAACGGCGAAGACAATTGCAGAATTGATATATTTAAAATGTACTGCAACTATTTGGCTCCCTGCTGTCAATACCGCCGAGTTACCACAGAGCCACGCCTTTTCATTTTTCCGAGCGCAACATCCTTGCCAAAATATTCATTGGTGGTGCTGCCGCTATACTCACCTAAGCCAACTTACTCTTGACAAAGGCAATGGCCTTTGCGCCATATTCAGCTCCATAGCCCTGGTGGGTCGCGCCGTTACTGCCATTGCAGCAGTACGGGTCCGTAGAATCGCAGTATGATTGAATCTTACTGGCAGACGGGCAGGAGAAGCCAGAAGGGCGTGCATCGAACTATATCTCAAGTGTTAGATCCAAAGTGCCTAAGTTTAGGGGTGATATAGGAAAGTCCATACTCCTCCAGCAGCACAAGTTCCAACATCATACGGCAACCCTGCCACATACAGTGGATCACCCATGAAGATGGCGGCCTTGACCATGTTCACAGCGGACGTCGACAGCTGGACCGCGGTGTTGGTGTAACCTTGGTTGGGGACGCCGCCGCCGCACAAGGCTGCATCCATGATTTCACCACCCTGGATCATTGTAAGAAGTTGGTCTTTTGTTCTAAAGAGGATCATAGCTCACCTGGGAATATCCGACCAGAACAAGCTTAGTCGATGGGCACTGTGTGTTATAGGAGTTCACAGCCGAGGCAACGGCTGCAATGCCCTGGGCAACTGAGTTCGAGTAGCTCACACTGCCACAGGACGATTGTCCACCGCAGGCAGGGTAGCTGATGGCCTCAGCTGTAGAGCCTGAGTAGGCGCTGAGGAGACCATTGACGACTGTGTTGGATGAACCGTATCCGGAAGATGCGGTGGTCTCGCGCGCACCAAAGATGTGGAGGCCCGGGCAGTTGATACGTTTCTCAATGTCAACCTCGACCGGGACAGCGAGGGCGCCGCCGGCAAGGAGGGTGAATGTCAAGATTTTGGAGATCATGGTGTCAATGGAGATCAATCAAAATTGGAACAGGCTAGTTTTTGCCTCGAGTATGCTTGTATATGCTTGTGTGTGCAAGTAGATTTGATGTTTCGAATGCCGGGACAACGGTTGCTTTGTCTAGATTTAGAATGTCTCCTCGGCAATTGGAGTCAGAAGACCATTGCATTTTGCCATATAGCAGGTCATCAGGAAATAACTTGTCCCTTTGGACCGAGCGGGGCTTTTTGCCTAATAGACGTTTGAGTATGAAACTTCATATGCGTTTTGGCAGGATCGCCTGGTTCAGCCGTGAAGAAATGGAATAAGATCCACAATTAGGCTGAATCAACTGGTGTATAGGCTTGAGCAAGGCTAGACTGGTTCAAATATGACAGGCCATTGGATATGGGGTTGAAATTGTGACCCGCTTCCATATACCTTGTGGTAGTTCTCCGCATTATTATAGGCAATTACAGCGTCGGATCTTTCTGGGGTATGCAACAAGGTTCCTCGCTCTAACTGGTTTGGGTAAACTATAATTCTTCATATACATTTCGGCAAAAATGCTATACCTATTCACAGGGTCATAGGCAGATATACAACACAGAGAACTAATTGTAATGTTGTGATTACCCAGACATGGTCTCAGCATAGACATTGAAGATAGTCGGGTCAATTTCCCAATTGGGGATGGCTCGAAACGTACTGGATACCTCCCTGTTTCATTAGTCTCAGGTATAGGGGTTCAGTACAACATATGCAGAGTGCTAGAGGTGGCTATGTTGTAGGTGATCCTTTTATTCCTGATTCTGATGGAATCTGAAATACTGTAAATAGGACCGGCTATCGACCCCGAGGGCCCTGCCCTATGTTTATCATGTCATGCCTCTTTTCTATGTACAAGTGAACTTAAATAAAGTGTCTAAACATAAACAAAGTTGTTTCGGCAAAGAGGACAAGTGCTCTGGTTGCTGCTCTTGAACCAGCGGAACAGACAGACCGAGTGGAATGTGTTCTTGCAAGTGGCACACCGCTTGTTCGGTGTCTGCATGTCTGTTGAGATAACAGAGTAACAGATAGCGCACTCACTCTGGCCCTTCAGAGCACCTTGGACGTTCCGTCGGAAGGCCAGCAAGCCATCAACCAGGTTGCCGTTGGCAAACATGATAACTCCCTGAATCGTCAACAGCCAGCTCTTCCATTTCTTCTCGTCCACAAGCACGCGACTGCGACCGACAACCAACGCGGGTTGAAGCGGGTAGGCAGGTGGGAGAGTGATAGAAATGGCAACTGGAGGTGACTCCTCGTCGACTGGAATGCTGGCAATGATTTCGCCTGTCTTCGGGGAAATCTTCACCTCCAGTGCGCGCTCTTCGTTTGCATCCTGGGTGGCAATCCAGTCAGTCACACTTTTGAGTGCATCTTCCACGACAAGTGGGGAGATCTGGGAACAGTATTAGTTACGGTGACTCGTTTAAAGGGGCCCACCACCAAAGACCACTCACGTATCTTTCCGACCAGGCTTCCACCGGACCCTTAATGCGTTTCTTAGTGTCAATCCACCAATTCTTGGTCATGTTGGCAGAGTATCTCAGGCACAGGTAGTACAAATGTACCAGGAGCCATTGTGTCTCCTTTTCGGCACTCTCGGACTCATCCGGCTCAAATGATCGAATATCAAGTTTGGATGCATCAATCATCTTTCCATGCGACTTTTGAAGGAAATCAAACGTGAATTCCAGCAGTGGGATGAGGATATTGTTCTCTCTGATGCTCGTTATGTAGTATTCTTGTACAGGAAGCGACTGATCAAACTGTTAGCAAGTTTACCTGATAATTTGCCGCGGAATAATCAAAACTTACAGCATTAGAGAAGTGGTCAAATACGACCTTCCAGCTGAGAAGGTAAGCCCGCATACTGGTCCACATCTTGTCATCTCCGTAGGCAGCAGAGACCATCTGCATTGTTGGGGGTTCAAGCAATAGAGACACGAGCTCATCAGGAAGGCTGACCGCAGTCTTTGATAAGGCGACTTCAAAGGATACCTTCTCCTGGACGTGGGGGATATAATGATGGAGAATTGTATAAGCAGTTCGCTGAACTGCTCTGCTGTGCGCAGTCAGAAGATGGAACGTTTCACTAACATCCTCCAAGTTGTCAACGGGGATAGTGTTAATCAGGCGTCGTAATAAGTCAACAGCAACATCCCGAGGTTGATGGAATGTGGTTGAGGAATCTGTATTTCGTTAGACATATTGGTGATGAGAGAAACCTAAAGCGCTTACCAAACGTGTCAATGGTGGAGGCCAGGGCCTTGAAAAGACCAGCCTTTCGATCTGACCAAGCATCTTGGACATCGTCATTGCTGTCACTTTCCGAAATAGATTTCAATTTTGCGAAGAGTCTGAAAGATGACACCAGTAATGGCAGAGCCTCTTCGCCTCCATTGGTTCCCTTCAATATGGAGTTTAGAACACCCATGCTTTCCTCCCAATGAGATCCGTAAATTTCCCTGAGAGCTGGAAGGACAAGAGACAAAGTTTGGATGACCTCGGATTTTAAACCAAGAGACATTGAATCTGATTGGAGACATTCAATCAAGTTCTTGGTGAGGAAGACCAAGCGCTGTGTCGGAATGGTAGAGACAATGTCTTCTTCCCCAGACAACAGGATATTCAACAGAGCCAGCTTCCGCAATCCTGCGCACAGTTAGTATTGGTGGTATATTTGCTAATATGTGGTCAGACACTTACCAACTTGGGAAAGATCCTGGGGCTTTAGTCCAGTTGAATCGGCGACTAGCTCATTGCAGATTCTGTTTCCGATGGGATTTGAAAGAATGGAGCTTCGCAACACTGCAAACCACGATGCCGAGCGGATGAGATTTGCTGTTCGGGCCTCTCTGCAGATCTTCGCAACATCCTCCGATGATTTAGACTTTTGCAATGAATCCGCAACAGTCATTATCTTGACGAAGGCTTCGCCAACCCTATAGTCCAAGGGAGATGTACCCTTTAGTTCCTCTAGCCTGGTCTCCCAGAACTCGGCAAACAACGAGGAAATGGTCCTCTCGGGTGCGAAGCTGACTGGTTCATTGCCACGAATCCAGTTACTGACCACCTTTCGGCCAGCGAAAACAATCTCCATGTACTCTTCTCGCTGATCAGCCAGCTCGAGACCTGAGATGCCGTTGCAATTCTCAATGCTTAGATCGTCATCTATAAGTTGAATTACCAAGGGCAAGAAATGGAACAAAGTTTCTAGGTCCCCCTGGCCCAGATGTTTCAATAACTCAGAATTTGAGAGAACGCTGATCGTGAAGATTGCCAGGCGGAATGCAGAAGAGCGATGGTCTGAATCGCGGGGAATAGTCGGCCATAAAGCTTTAAAGGAGTCAGATAGCTCACGGTGGATCAAGTGAACAGCGCCTCCTAGGGGACTTGTTATAGCAGTGGAAGGGCGAGGTGGAAGTTGGAGAAAGGGCGTCAGAGATTCCTCCCATGAACGGCGAGACGGCAGGATATCCTTCACGGTACCAGTTGCGCCTTCAGCAGTAAGACCTGGCAGCAATTCCTCCGCGATAGCAAGAAGTGATTCAATCCTGAGCCCAAGTTAGCACATTTTCCTGCAGAATATATGACAATGGAGCACTCACGACAATGATTCTTTATCCACATGACTGAATCCATGTTGGAGAATTTCGATGCCCGACTTGGCACTCGTATCGCCAACACCAGATTCTTTCAATGATTTCAGCAACGCTTCCGCTAAGCTTGCCACCTCTTCAGATGGTGATTCTGTGAGAAAAAGTAGCTTTCCTGCTAACTTCGACCCAAGAGCTCCATTTTGGAACTCCCGAACTGAAGATGGTGCAGACTTTCCGATATGGGAAAGCCCATGCAAGGCATCAAAGACTTTATCATCTGAAGACAGTGCCTCGATCAAATATAAGAAAATTTGATCCATCAATTCGCCTTGTGATGTTTTGTTCTGAAGAACTGCGGTGATTATAGACCAATGGGCATGGCTTCCTTGGCAAGCTTTGCCAAGAGCCCGCACAACAAGTGAGTTAAGCTTGTCTTTGTGCTCAGCATGGTTGAAATCGAGAGAAGAAAGTAAGCTCTGGAGTACATGCACATTGGACTGCTCTGGCTCGAGGGCCAAGGCTCGCTCAACAACGTTCTCGAAACTGGATGCAAATCCATCCCACTCCCGACACTCTAAGATGATTGAAATCAATCGATCAGCAGACGGTGAAAGCAAAAGCTCCGGCGTATCATTTTGCACGAAGTTTTGGAGGTCTTGGGACTTTTTAGCCACATGAGGTAGGCTGCGAGCACACTCCACCACTGTGGCGGCAGCTCCATATGGTTTCCCATTACGGGTGCGCAGGGCCTCAAGGCAACCTTCGAGAAGGGAAGTGCTTGTTCTTTCAAAGACTTCCGATACTTGAGGCTCGATCTCGGTATCTGCGACCCGCGAGAGGACAGCAGATTCCAAATCCAAGAGGCGTTTGGATTGGGCACATACTGAGTCTTGAGACTCACGGAAGTCCTTTGATTGTTCTGGAGACGATAGCTTCACAGCTTCAAGTAGCCCATCGGAAAGGGATTTACACAATGATTGGAGTTCCTGGGCTTGCTTAGTGGAAGCCAGAGTGAAAACATAATCCACACAAGTTCCTTCAGCTAACTCGGCTGGAAGTGACCATTGTGACAGATCTGGGTCAATTTTCACATACTGCACCACCAAAGGAGACAGTCTCTTCGCGATGAATTCGGACTTTTGCTCCTGGGGGACCAATGTTGCAAGCCATGTGCCTATCTGTGTATAAGATTTCCATCCAATGGCAAGGTTTGAACGCGGTTCTTCTCTCGAGTTGAGGCCTTCTTGCAAAGCCTCAGTCAAGGCAACTGCGCTGGTACAGGTGATTCCATGGTCAGCAGTGGCCTTGTCAGCACCTGCTAGCACTTCTTGGGGGAGGATCCGAAGCAATTGGTCTAGATTTGACCAAAAGTTAGAATGCCCACCTTGGGACCCTTTCTGTATGTACTGGCGCAATCTCCTTGAGGAAGATGATTTCCCAGTGTAGTCATCTGTCCATATTTGAGGCCTCAGTGAAGATAATAAAAGGAGAGACTCTGACAATTCGGCAGCCGATCCGATTTGCTGGAGCGACAAAGATTTCCCAATGACGGCTGAACTGAGAGTTTTCCAGTCAATCCATCCAGGCTCTCGAGAAACCGCAGAGCGGAGGAGGATGTATATGGACCGGCGAACATATGGATCATCGTGGTAACAGAGAGCCCACAAATTCTTGCTGGCTAACAGATTCTCAATTTCCGGTAGGTTCTTCTGCAAATCTTCGTCGGACGAATTGCCTAGAGATAATGAATTGTTAGATGGAGAGTATTGCAACGTAGAAACGTTTAACATACCTAGTACGCGGTTGAAAAGCAAAATTGCGGCTCCCGCAACACGGGCATATTTCCCCTCTGCGTCGTCTCTCTTCACTGTCCTTTCATCACTCAATGTCAAGGCTGTTTGGTGAAGAATGACATCATCTACAAAGTCCAAAATGGAATCTTGGTAGATCCTCCACACGTTGTTTCGTTTCTCTTCGGTTGTAAAGACTTTTGTGAACGATTCAAGGGCGGCACGGTGGACTAGTCGATCATTGTCGTAGATTCCTGCGATCCATGCTCCGATGATCTTGGGTAAATTGGGTACGATCCGCTTCCCAACAAGACCAGAAATTGTTCCTTGTATCGGATGAGCAACTTGGCGTACTCGGCGGGACAAATCAATCGAGAGTCTGGGGTAAATTCTGACCTGGGAGAAAACATTGTTATTACTTGGTGTTTGTATATAGAAGTGATCTATACATACCCATGCATCTAGAAACCCGTCATCTAGAGTTCCCTTCTTCTCTTCTACCGCCAATATATGGTCGCGCAGCTCTTCTAGAGCCTTCAATCGTGTAATGTCATCTTTCTTCAGTAAATTCTTGAACGCGATAACGAGTTGCTGCGCCGCAATGCGAGAAAGATCTGGTGGTGCTGCGATGTATGTGAGAGCGGACGGCTCCTTTCCTTCGCTGGAGAGACCACCAGAGAAGCCCCCAAATGATCCAAAGGCGCTGGCAGCAGCGCGACTGCTGGAGGCCTGGGATTTGAACTTTTTGCTCATGTGGGGTATGAGGTCAGCGGGATAAGCAAGTAGTGGGGGAGGACCTCAAAATTGAGGGTTTGGAAAGGCTCCGGAGAGAGCAAGGGGCCTTGACTGTGGATTCTGGGTTTGGATGTGATTGAAAGCTGTATCACTCTCCCATCGCATTTGTGGAATTCCAAGTACATTCAATATCGGATCTCCAAAAGATCCGCGGGACTAAGATAGTCATCACGTGAGTTTGTGTCATCGCTGTCCCAAATAGGACAAGCGCAGAGGCGGAGCCGCGAAAGATGAGAGCGAGCTCTCTTCACTTCCGATCCTTTGCCCTCTTGCGTTCTGCATCGGAGCCCAGCCAAGATGAAGTTCTTCATTGAGTATGTCCCCTTTTCATAGTCCTATATAGTCTCCAAGCTGACCACATCCGTCTGCCACAGTGATCTTCCGGTGCTGTTTCCATATCCTCGCATCTACCCCGAACAATATGCCTACATGTGCGATCTCAAAAAGACCCTCGACGCCGGGGGTCACTGTGTGCTGGAAATGCCATCAGGAACCGGCAAGACAGTTTCGCTACTGTCGTTGATCGTCGCCTACCAACAGCACTATCCAGAGCATCGCAAGCTCATCTACTGCTCCCGAACCATGTCGGAGATCGAGAAAGCTTTAGCGGAGTTGAAGGCTTTGATGGAACATCGTGCTAAGGAGCTGGGTCATGAGGAGGAATTTCGCGCGCTTGGTCTGACTAGTCGGAAGAATCTCTGTCTTCACCCTTCGGTAAAGAGAGAGAAGAGTGGTACGGTGGTTGATGCTAGGTGCAGAAGCTTGACGGCTGGGTTTGTCAAGGAGAAGAAGGAGCGCGGTGAAGATGTTGAGCTTTGCGTATATCATGAGGTGGGACTTTGTTATCTGCAATACAACATTGAACGAGCTAACAGGCCTAGAACCTTGACTTACTCGAACCACATAACCTCGTCCCCCCGGGCGTTTTCACACTGGACGGGCTGGCAAGATACGGAGAAGAGCACAAACAATGTCCCTACTTCTCCGCTCGGCGTATGGTAAGATCTCAAGCGCGTGTTCTACACAAAATGCCCCATTTCTGATACGCTTCACTAGATGCCTTGGTGCAATATTATTATCTATTCCTATCACTATCTTCTCGATCCAAAAATTGCGGAACGAGTATCCCGAGAGCTCTCAAAAGATTGCATCGTGGTTTTTGACGAAGCGCACAACATCGACAACGTCTGTATCGAATCGCTCAGTATAGACCTGAGTGAGGACTCCCTACGAAAGGCGACTCGGGGTGCAAACAACCTGGAACGCAGGATTGAAGAAATGAAGAGCACAGATGAAGAAAAGCTCAAAAACGAATATTCAAAATTAGTGGAGGGGCTACAGGAAGCTGAGAAGGCCCGGGAAGAAGATCAATTCATCTCGAATCCGGTCTTGCCAGATGACTTACTAAAGGAAGCTGTTCCTGGTAACATTCGCCGGGCCGAGCATTTTATCTCTTTCTTGAAGAGATTCATTGAATATCTGAAGACTCGGATGAAGGTCACCCATACCATATCCGAAACACCTCCTTCTTTCCTCACTCACCTAAAAGACCTGACTTATATTGAACGAAAGCCTTTGAGGTTTTGTGCCGAGCGTCTAACGTCACTTGTACGGACGCTGGAACTTGTCAACATTGAAGATTATCAGCCTCTTCAAGAGGTGGCCACATTTGCAACACTGGTCGCAACTTACGATAAGGGATTTGTTCTCATTCTTGAGCCGTTCGAGTCCGAAGCGGCTACTGTACCAAACCCCATCCTCCATTTCACGTGCTTAGATGCTGCCATTGCTATCAAGCCGGTATTCGATCGCTTCAGCTCTGTGATCATTACCTCGGGAACGTTATCGCCCTTGGAAATGTATCCGAAGATGCTGGGATTCACTGCTGTTCTCCAGGAATCATACAGCATGACACTCGCTCGACGCTCCTTCTTGCCCATGATTGTCACTCGAGGCTCAGACCAAGCACAGGTTTCATCTTCGTTTGGTATTCGCAATGACCCTGGTGTTGTACGGAACTACGGAAGTCTAGTAACCGAGTTTGCTCGCATCACACCGGACGGCGTTGTCGTTTTCTTCCCCTCTTATCTCTACATGGAATCAATCATCAGCATGTGGCAAGGTATGGGCATTCTGGATCAAATCTGGAACTACAAATTGATTCTCGTGGAAACTCCCGATGCACAAGAATCTTCACTCGCCCTGGAGACGTACCGAACAGCGTGTTGCAATGGACGTGGTGCGATCTTGTTCTGTGTCGCTCGAGGCAAGGTTTCCGAGGGTATTGATTTCGATCACCATTACGGTCGTGCAGTGCTGTGTATTGGCGTTCCCTTCCAATACACTGAATCTCGAATTTTGAAAGCTCGTCTCGAGTTCTTGCGCGAGAACTACCGTATTCGGGAGAACGACTTTTTATCTTTCGATGCGATTAGACATGCCGCCCAGTGTCTGGGTCGTGTCTTACGTGGCAAGGACGACTACGGGGTCATGGTTTTGGCGGATCGTCGATTCGAGCGAAAGCGCCCCCAACTCCCCAAGTGGATCAACCAGGCAATGTTGGACAGTGAAACCAATCTTAGTACTGATATGGCTGTATCAAATGCCAAGAACTTTCTGCGGACCATGGCCCAGCCATTCAAATCGAAAGATCAAGAAGGCATTTCCACCTGGGGCTTGGCTGACATCGAGCGCCATGAGGCTAAGAGGAGGACCGAGGAAGAGCGGATGATGAGAGAGGAGGTGAATAACGGGCACGCAACGGGCGGAATGATCCCATCCGCATCCCGGATCGTCGAGGATGACTACGACGACGACAACATTGATGCAGACCTCATGATGCTTGATGCGCCATAAAATAATGACGTTTGTTATTTACATAATGATGCATCTACTGGTATGGGCAGGGCGTTTGGAATTGGGCATTAGCGCCATTCAGCATGGTGTTTCTCAGGACAGAAACTATTTACCTTGCAATTGAAGACAAATCTCTTAAACAATTATCCTCGGGATCCAAGTCATCTAAGCCAATTTTGAGAGCAGATAATCAGCCAGGATAAAGCCTCAATTCAGTCAGTGCTCGCTATAGCTTGATATCAGATCGTGTATCTGAAATCCGGTGAGCTCTCAATAATCTTCTTCCCATCATCGGCCTGTTTATTGGAATACCGGAACCAGATAGTCAATGCTCCTACTATAAGCAATATCAAGATATTACAACTTAGCCACTCATTAGCAAACGTATCTTCAAACGGGAGAAGAAAACTGACACAATAGTTGTCCACATCCCCAGACGGTAGATAGGTGCGTCCTGCTCCCGGAACACCAAACTGCTCACAATACCACCAATCCGTCCAAATCCCACCAAGGTAGCGCTAGAAAGAGCACGGGTCCACTGTCCTCGTATGTTGTTGGCTTGGTAGGCCATAGAAGCGGGCACATTAGCGTTAGATCCTGCCACAGCAAGGAAAACACCAAAGTATCGGACAGCATTGTTCTCAGCGAATCCCATGATTGGGAGCCCGATAATGCCAATCAGGGCGTTGAATGCCAATATAGGTCCCCTCATGCGGTATTTGTCGCCTAGCCAGGATGTTATAAGCATCAAGATTGCAGCGAGTCCAAAGGGGGGAGCTACAAGGCATTGAGAAGCAGCTACCCCGTATCCCATTCCTTGTCGAAGAATAATAGGCAGGAAATAAGAGATCGCATAGGTATTTGTCGTGATACAACTGCCACGCTGTTAGGATGGGCTAGTGTGGCAATGGTGTGGCATACTCACAAGAATATCATTGCAAATCCCCAAATTTTCAAGTCCAAGGACGGTGCTAGGAATCTTTTCATGCTGAAAGGCTCTGCATCTCCGTCTGCTCGGTCTCGATTGATTCGTCGGACAATGAAGGCGCACTCCTTCTCGCTTAGGAACCTCCATGATTTATAGGCTCGGTCTGGGAAATCGACCAAGAAAAAGAGAGTGAGGACTCCAACGACACACGACAACTTAAAACATCTTAGAATATTTGTCAATCAATTTGGGAGAATGGCCCACGTACCACTCCTTCCATGATGAAGATCCAGCGCCATCCTTGGATGCCCTGGATACCATCCATTTGCGACAATCCATAAGCCAAGACACCAGCTAATGCCGACGCTACACAGCCAAAGAGGTAGAATATGGAGAAGCGCTTTTGAACATCATCTATTTATAGGTTAGTCACTGACAGAGCCGTTCCATGTAGATTCGTACTTACAGCGGACATACCAACTTGACAAGAGGTAAACACAACCGGGAAAGTACCCTAGAGAGTCATTCTTAGAATTATGTGAGGGCATGGTATTCGAGCAATACATACCAGCCTCCAAAGCACCTAGCAGTGCCCGAGTCATAACCATATGTTTCCAATTCTTCGAGAATCCCATCCCCTATAAATTGATATCAGTATCATTTTCGCCCGGCGCTTCGCAGGATGAGTATGAACTGACAACTAGGATTGCCCCCCAAGACAAAATGATTGAGCCCAGGAAGAACCTAGGGCCAACCTTCCGTGTTACGACAGTCAGTCATGGGAGGCTGAAGTAAGACATATGGCACGAAGAAGATCAGAATCATAATCGACTGCAAGGGATTAGCAAGTGACCAATATAGAAGTAGGATAGGAACGGAACTATTGTCACGCACATATCGTGTTCCAGCGAGTCCTAAGTCATCTGTCATGCTGTTGTCCATTTATCAATGCTCTGTTTGGTGTATTGTGGTTCGAATATCTTACCCAGCGACAGCGGCCATGCCAAGATTTGTTCTGTCTATCATCGAAATGCAGTATGCGAGTCCAGACATCAAGATCAACCTGCGATCAATGCGATGGATAATCTTGCGCTGCTCTGGCGGCGAATATTCCTCATCCCAATCGACATTGTTGCTAGCTGGCTGGTTGATATCTTCGACATTTTCAATGCTCGAAGGCTTCTCGTTTTTCGATCTAAACATATTTAATATGAAAGCTGTAGTTTTGACTCAAAGTAGAATAGAGAAGTCGTGGGTCAACAGTCCAGCGATAGTAATGCTTTATTTATATCTCAAAGATTATCTGGGCAGCATCTCTGCAGTAAAGCGGGGATCAAGTAGTACATTTTGCCTCAACGTATTGTGTAGATTTTATTGGCTAATACTGATAGTAAGTACTCAATCAATTGAGTTTAAGTATCCTAGTGGGAATAGGTATCACTAAGGGCGAATGAGTGTCCACGCATTGTGTACAATTAAACGACTAAGAGCCGCTTTCGATGCTAGGTTCACGTCACCTGTATATATGATGTATCCGGGTTTGTTTCCCCGGACTTTTTCACCCAGATTTGGGACCTATCTATCGAAGTATGGGGAAGTATTCGTGTGCAGTCTCGATCTGTACCCCAGAGTCTCTATCGGCGCCTGTTTCGGACATTTCGGTTGATGGCCGAGGCTCTTGGACAACTGATGTCCAAATTTTGATAAATTTTCCCAATCGTAACACAGCTCAAATATCTTAGGCCTACATTTGATTTGCTAACTTTGGTCGAGTCCAAAAGTAATTCTCTTGGCCCTGGTATGCTGTGTCGACATAGAGTAGTTTCCCTGGATTTCAACCATCAATCTTCCGCGGGTTTACAATCCCGGTAACTTCACCACGGGGCCTGATGTGTGGCTTGTGAAGCGCTGGCCCAAATAGATACACTACGAAATACACAGGGGCTCGTGATCAAGTCCACTTTTATATAGTTATTTAGACAGCTTGGGAAGAATAGGCTCACTTGTTCTACATAGTTGTTCTCCCATGGTAGTAGTTGATTAGAATCACTTAGATCCTACACCAAAACGTGTTTTAATCTTGAAGAACAATGACCACGAGTATTCTCAAAATGCCGATCTTGTGTTTCTCTATGTTGATTAAAAGTTTTGAATATAACAATCATAGATAGAAAGTAGCGTAGTCGGCGGAATCCCTAACTAAGATATACTGTCATACCATATCTATATCCTACTAGCGGGCATTGAAGTGGCATAAATGTGATAGTTTAGGTTTTAGGAAGTTTATTTTCAAGTACGTCCTGTATACATGCACTTGGCTACTTTCATTGTCAATGTCTGTACGCAAATTTTGCAGTCTAACTTAGAGAATCGTTATATCTACTGAACAGAGACCTACTCCCCGAGTAAAATTTCTCAATTTTGGAGCATGTTAGATGTTATTGCTGAAAGGGTTCACTTCACCTCTCTGTCTGCTTCCTTGAGATATGTCCCTTTGTTTCTCAGTCAGTCTTATCCCTTAGGCATCCATCCAGGTATTCCCATTTGCTAGTATATTCCTTCACTTATCCGCCTCAAAAATTACCTTGTGAGCCCGCATGTTATCAAAATCGTCATATCTACCGAAGGGTCAATCATGAGGTTTCAAAATCTGAACGAGAAGAACTTACGCCTGAACGGCCTGTGAGAGCGGACGGATATCTTGAGACATGAAGCTAAAAATCATTAGATACTCGTGAGGCAGATAATATCAGATTAGCCAAACTCACTTAAGGACGTCCTGCTTCTTTTCGAAAAGGTCCATCGCCGGGCCAAAGATACCTAGCATAATTGAGCAAGACAACCAAAGTAAGATGGGGAATCAGACGTACTCCGAACAGGGCATCGGCCCATCTGTAGACGAAGGTTCTTTGCGTACGCTTCATTCCCAGTCCACGGGATATCCTGATTGTGGACGCCGACACTCGATATACGGCCCCAGGGTCGTAACAAATCGAAGCCCATCCTGAGAGCGCTGCTATGTCCGACAACTTCGATGACAATATCCGCTCCACGGCCGTCTGTAAGTTTCTTTACCCTTTGGCGCAATCCTTCTTCGTCCTCTTTGAAATTCCAAGCCTCCGCTCCTAGACTCTGTGCAAGTGCTAGTCTGGAAGGCACACTATCGATTGCAATCAAAGTCTTCGGTTTGTAATCAAGGGCACTAATAAGTGCACAGATACCGACAGGTCCACATCCAAAGAGGAGTACCGTGCTGTTTTGAATCTCCTCCGGGGTTGTGCCAGAGAAAGCATTCAGAGAAGCGAAGTACCCAGTCGGGAATATATCGGCCATAAGAACCAGCTTCTTCTCGTCGATTGTATCTGGGACTTTGGCAAGAGTCGAATCGGCCAGTGGAATGCGTACGTACTCAGCCTGTCCACCATCAAGTGCAACAGTGCCGAATAGCTGGCTTTGAGCGCACCGAGAGGAGAAGCCACGCTCACAGTAGAAACATTTCCCACAGCTCGCAGTGAAGGGTGAGACTACTCGATCTCCTTTTTGGAAGTTTTTGATGTTTGATCCAAGCTCGACAACTTCACCTGTAAACTCATGGCCCATGATAAACTCCGTGCCAGACTTTTGGTGGCCGCGAAAGACATGGAGTTCACTTTGCAAATATTAGCGGTGGTGCAACGTTAGGAATAGTTCTTGATTTCATACCTGCCACATAACGCAGTGTATCGCACCTTCAGGATGACATCTGTTGGATCTTGGATCTGGGGAATAGGCTTTTGTTCGATGGCTACCTTTGACGGGCCCTTGAAAACGACGGCTTGCATTTTGGCAAATTATGATCTTTCCTGTGGCTTATCCAGAGTTTGTTAAGAGGTTTGATGACGTTGCAGCTGAGATCCAGCTCTCATTTTAAGTCGCAGGGATATGCGTAGTCCGGCGACATCACCGAGGGACCTCGGCAGATCTCGGATTTATACTAGCGTGGCAAGGAAACGAGTATAAACAGGATTTTGACATAATTATATTGAAAAGGGATAGAATCCGTTCTTTTAATATGAGATTTGAAGTGCTCCAGAGGCAGAATTGACCTCCAACCATGCAATGACATGTATCAAAGCCGTTTTTGATAGTGGGGGACTTTTTGCGGGGTAATGGTATAGACTTTATATTTGTATACATATCTGTTTAAGACTACATCACAACGCTTGAAAAGACAATCATAGGTCTATGTCCGACGAAGCCTTATTCCACCATTGCTTACAAACTTGTTATCCACTAGATTTGGGTGCTAAGTGTTAACGTTATATATTCTCCGCAACTAAGAAGATGCTGGTAGGTTATGTAGGACCCATTTCACTCCATCAACAACAATTTCCGGCTCAGTCATCTGGACAAAATGTCCACTCTTGGTGGCGAAGACAAGCTCGCTCTTCGTAGAGAGTTTCAGAAATTCTTTCATGAGACCCTCATTCTTCGCATCAACTGTCTTAATCAACTCTCTCACATAGCTCCTCTGCTCCTCGGTCCCGTTCCCTTTAGCAACGCCCGCCTTGTACAATCCACTCCAATCGATACTTCGTGTGCCCCCAATCACATAAACCGGTTTGTCTCCAACAAGTGGCTGCTTCTTACTCAGCTCCTTCCTCCGCAGCGTCTCAAAACTTGGAATATAGTTCGACTCCTCCTCACGACAAACTAGCTCGAACTTCTCCGTTGCTTCCGCTGCTCTAAACGCATCCCACTCCTCCTGCGTCAATTTGTGATTCGCCTCCACGCCCCAGGCAGAGTATGGCTCAACACCCGTGGCAACAGTCCAGAGAATTGGATCGTCCACGTCCATCACTAGTGGCGCTGTCTCATGGTTGGCGTCCACAAGCACCAGACCAGCGATTTGGTCAGTTCCTTTGAGGGCGATGTACTCGTGAGTTAGCACGCCGGCCCAGGAGTGCCCCACAAGGATCAAAGGGTTTGGGATAGGCGCCTTCTCGATCAGAAGGGAGAGTTCCAGAGCGACGTTCTCGGCCGTGGGAGCAAGCGGTGAGGACTGTGAGTTGTGATAGCCGGAACGGTCGTAAGTGTAGCTTCGCAGCGAGGGACCCAGCAGCCGTACCACTGCTTGCCAGTTGAGGGCATCGCTTTCCACACCCGAGATGAATAGTACGACGGGATCTTTGGAGCTGCTGGGATCTGGGCCGTGGGTGTAAAGAGCTAGAGAGTGAGTGCCGATGTTAACGAGGCGGCCGGTCGAAGGGAGCGTTGAGGCCATTGTGGGGTGATGGTTTTATGAATTCTTGGGAGTTGTATGTTTCTCATGAGTGGTTTGTGATATTCAAGGCCGTTCACTAGCCGAACCAGTTACAATATATCACAGTCTGAAGTGTCAGCACGATAGAGGGGCAGAGAGTTTTTACGAGGGAGGAGCCCACATTCGTGATTTCGTGTTTAGTTTTCGTTACCTGCCGTATCATGTTAAGCGAACACTCGTTGATTTAATGATCACCTTGCGTAAATATTAACAGGTACCTTGACTTGTCTTATCATGACCATTTAGACGTGCATGACGATGCAGCGCATCTTGCTCTATTAGGAGTGGTGGATACGAAGGCGGGATTAATGGACCAGCTATAGCTACCTAATACTCGCAACATTATTACATTTGAAGTATAGGCCATGTTTTAACATCATTACTTAGGAAAAGATCTATTTATCGAACTAGTCAAGATGCTAATATGAACAGGACTTTTTGGTTCCGCTGCACAAAGACAAACTCCAAATCATCGACACATCAAAGATGAAGCGAAAACACAAAAAACAATAAGAGCTTTGCATAAACACAATATACACATGAGGAAAAGACAAGAATACACATTTCAAAACTCCGTCCAGTCAAGAGACTATGCTACAGGAGCAAGAATGTCGAACGAACCAGTGCCGACAGTGCCGACACGGCCAACAACAATTCTGCTACTAGGACTCTTGAGGTTATCAGTACCCCTCTCGAGCACAACGTCCTTCAGGGCGCCGACAGTAGTCTCGAAACTGGCCCGTGCGAAAGCAGATGAGGCATCCTTAACCAAGCCGTTACGACTGAAGGCCTTGAAGCCACCGGACTGTGTCATCACATCACCGATCAAGTTCAAGTGACGGTTGTCAACGGAGATACTGTGACCACTGAAAACGGCATCCATTTCGCGGACGATAGTAGCGCGAGCAGCTTCAACACCGTACAGGTTGAGCATGTCGTGGATGGAGTTGGTGTAGATCGAGTGGGGCTTGATGATATCCTGGTAGTCGCGCATGGCGAGCAGGTTGACACCCTCGGTGAGGATGTTGGCGGGATCACCCTTCGCCTCATCGGCCTCAACAAAGACACAGTTGCCCATGCCGGGGATGCACTGGATGACGGCGGAGTGGAGAACCTTCTCAACCAGGGGAAGGAGGAGAAGCTTGGGAGTCTCAACGTCGTACTGCAGTTGGATGGAGCACGAGTTGCCGCTCTTTGGGTCGAACCGGAACTTTGTGATCTCCTCAAACTTGCCCATGACATCCTCCTCTTGCGCCTTGCTGTTTTGGGCGGCCTCATCCTCAGACTCATCCTCGGAGTCGGAGTCGGAGCCGTCCTTCATCTGCACGTCGCGAGTGGCCTTGGCAGGCTTGCTGCTTTCATCTTCATCTTCGTCTTCGTCGGGGGTGTCTTGGCGTCTGATGATATCCTGCTCACCGGCGTCGGGCCCTTCGTAGGAGACCTGGTTGCCCCTGTTCTGAGCTCCGGCAGCCCGCTTGGCATCGTCCTCATCATCTTCATTGTCATCATCGGCTGGCTGGACCTCGGAGTCAGCGCCTCTTGGCGCCTCCGCGATTTTACCGACTGAAACACCGATTTCAGGCTGAGAAGTTGTACCCTTGACGCCCTTCTTCTCTTCGTTGCGCTTCTTGAGCTCGGCCTTGGTGAGTCTCACCAACCGGGGAATGAGCTTGGAAATCAGAGCAATGAGAACATCCTTAGTCTCAATGGCATATTCCTTGGTGTATTCTTCGGACGGGAAGAAGTCGATCTCGATATCGTAGATCTTAGCCATAGCGTGGCCAATGCCCGAGCCGATGCGTTCCTTCACTTGCACCTTGTCAACAAGTTCAGCGATGCTCAGTTTGCTGATAGCCTTGGCGAATTTCTCCGAGTCATCTTTAGAAATCTCCTCATTCAGAAGAAGAGTCATCGTAGGCGTCATAATCTTGGCACTTGCAGTCATAACAATTTCACGTAGACGGGGAATACCCAGTGTGACGTTCTTTGCCGAGTGACCAGCCAAATGGAAGGTGTTGAGAGTCATCTGTGTGGACGGTTCTCCGACGGATTGACCAGCCATAATTCCGACAGCCTCACCGGGGTCAATGATGGACTTCATGTACTTCATGTTCATCAAGGCCTCGAAGGTCTTCTTGGTAACCTTGCCCTCGATGTTCTTCTTCTTGTCTTTGATAAGCTTGTTCTTGTTGACATCCGCGTACTATTTTCAAAATCTGTTAGAATTGCAAAGAATCAGAGAAAAAGATAGAGTCCATACCTTCTTGAGCTCCTGGGCGAACGCTTCGGATGTACTTCCAAGGTTTCCTCCAGGGGGGAAGTGAGACAACACAGGATCCATAGCATCAATCTTTCCGGTCTTGCGGACAGCCTTGATGGCGTCCTTGTGCCAAGTAGTGACATTATCCTTGGCCAGTTTGTGGTAATCATCGGCTTGGACTTGCTTGGAAATGGAGATGTGGTTCTGCGCAAGGAAATCAAAGTCGTTCAGGTGCACCTGTTTGGTGATATCGAGACCGTCCTCTCCGTACAAGAACTGGACAATGGAGCCATCTGACGCTTCACGGACAGAGGAGTCGTACTCAGCCTTGAGACCCTCCATACCCTTGATCAAACAACGTTGCAGGTAACCGGATCTAGAGGTCTTGACAGCAGTATCAATCAGACCCTCACGACCAGCCATGGCGTGGAAGTAGTATTCCTGAGGCTTGATTCCGGTCAAGAAACGACCAGAAACGTAACCACCAGCCATCGGGTGAGTTTCGAAGGCCTTGAAAGACGGAAGAGTCTTTCCACTGATCATGAGTGGTACACGGCGACCTTCCAGAACCTGTTGGCCGAGATTACAAGAAATCAGGTTGGCGTTAACACCGGATCCCTTGGCTCCAGATATCGTCATAGACTGCATTTGGTTCCAGGGGAAAGGCTTAGCAAGGCCGTACGGGAGACAGGCGCTGGTGATTTCAGAGGAGAGCTTGGCGGACCGGGCGTTAGAAACGCTATCCAGGCCACTTTGCTTGTCGTCATCGCGAAGAACCTCCTCCAATCGTCGGTTCAACTCGGCAGACTGGTCACCAGGAGCCTTGTCCAAGGTAACATACTTCAGAGCAACTTCGCGACCCATCTGAGGAGCAGTGGCCAACTTCTCCTTGCGGATACGGTCTCCCTCCTTGGTCAATCGGAGATCGTCGATACCACAACTGAAACCGCGCAGGTTCAGGACGCGAGTGAGAAGTCTTCCAAGGACACCGATGAGCTTGCCAGCAGTGCTATATCCATAAACTTCATGGATGGCATCGATGAGACCACCGGCGGTGGGACCAAGCTGTTTCTTATCAAGGATACCACAAAGGTACTCTCCATCCTGGAAGATAACCTCTCCTTCCTCGTTGCCCTCACCCCATCGTTCACCGGGAGTAGAAGACTTACTCTTCAAGGTCAAACCTCCTCGCTCTGGGGGCTGGATGTTCTTGAGGATTGTCGTGATGATCTGCTTTCCGGTCCATAGGCACTTGGGCTTGCGCATAGCAGGCTCGACCAATTGAATCCGGTCAGTGACAATATGCGAATGCTCTGGTCTCAAGCAACTGTACAACAGCTGGTGATAATCCTCCTCGTCATAGAAGCTGTCACGGCAGGTAACCCACGTTCCCATGGAAATGTGATCTTGAATCAGACCTCTGAGCGGCTTGCCTGATGTGGCAACGAGGTACTGGTGGTCAGCATCTGCCAACATTCTGGCTTCCGCTTGAGCGAGCTCATTTTGAGGGAAATGCATGTTCATCTCGTCACCATCGAAATCAGCGTTGTAGGTGTTACAATTGGCGTAGTGCATGCGAATAACCCGCTCGTTGGGAAGGACACGAGCCTTGTGACCCATGATGGAGGGTTTGTGCAGAGTTGGTTGACGGTTCATCAAGACGTAATCACCGGTGGTGAGATGACGGTAGACCTTCTTGTTACGCGAACCTTTTTGGCGCCAATTTGACGGTGCGAGCAATTGGTTGGCAAGTGCTGTACGCTCTTCCAAGTTCTTGAACTTGAGGTTGATGACTTGTCCGTTTTCATTCTCGATGGAAGAAGCGCCGGGGTATTTGTCGGGACCGTTGATGACAGCCTCCTTCAACTCCCAGAAGTTGTGATTTGTCACAGGTTCAGGGAAAGTCAACTTCTTGGCGAAGACAAGGGGTACACCAATTTCATTGGGTTCGATGTTGGGATCAGGCGAGATAACACTACGAGCAGCAAAGTTGACACGCTTTCCCATCATGTTCTTTCGGAACAGACCTTCCTTCTTCTCGAGAACCTGTTTGATACCGTTAGGCTGTGCCGCGGCAGCTGACCCGGTGACCGAGGTACGATCGCGGTCAATCAAACCGTTGACCACATCTTGGAGCTGAACGATAGCTTGAAGGAGATCACTGTAGTTCCGTGCCCGAGACATAGTCTTCTCTTCCTCGTTTTGGATCTCCTTGCTGATCTGGTTGATGGTGTCACAGCCCTTCAAAATCGCATTGAACGAAGTGTTTTGCTGTGCCTCCATGACTGTTCCGGCACCCTGCTGGACTGCAGGGCGGTACTTGTTTGGCGGCACCATAAGACTCTTGATGAAGAACATGTCCGCCGACACAACTATCACTCCCTTGGGCACGGGCCGAGAGTTGTAGACAAGCTGCAGGATCTCACTTTCCTTTTGGAAAAGAAGATGAAGTGCTCCATAGACTTCGGAAGAAGACATAAATTCCTGGCCGGTCGACCCCTGTACCTCCTGCACGACAGCCACGCCACGGCGGATTTCCTCTTCGGCTCCGTGGATCTCAGAAACACTGTTCTTGGACTTGGAGTTCCTTTCTTGGTCGAGAAGGACCATGGTATTCGGTGCCTGGAATCCTCCTTGCAGCATTGCAAGCTTCTGCTTCTCGGGTAATTGCTTTCGGAAGATTTTGTTGTAGCGATCCTTTTTATAGGCGGGGGACACTCTGCCATAACGTTAGCTAGGAAAGACAAAGTCGAGATCGAGGCATATTGTATAACGTACCCGCTGCAGTTGGCACATTTCTTGAATGCATTGATATCCTTGAAGAAGCCCTTGAGCAACTCTCGTCTGGCTTCTGCAGCAATAGGGTTCTGTCCGCCAGGCATCAATTCGTCCATTTTGCCCTCCTTCTTGGTTTCACGGATGCGCCGAGTGACATAATCAGTTCTCTTTTGCATATAGTCATCATCATCGGGATCGTCTGAGTCGTCTGAATCGTCTTCCTTGCCCTTGGTAGGCTTTGATTTGGCACCTTTGACGGCTCCCATTGCATCGACAATAGCGACTTCGTCAACCAAGCCATATTGCAGAAGGCGCAATTTGCAGGTGTACATGTTGACCTGGTTGCGACCCATCTGCAGGCGAAGACAGTACACACATTGTGCTCGGAGAAGGCGGAAAATGTGATCGAAGAAGGTGACGTTATAGAAGGGTACTGGCAGCTCAATGTGTCCAGGATGTCCAGTACAAGTGAAAGAGTTCTGACGACAGGTTGTGCATCTGTAAAATAGGAAAATCTCTCACGTTAAAAAAGATTGAACAGCATATTAATCAAGTCAAGACTTACACATGATCTCCCCAAGCGCCCATAGCAGGGTCTTGAAGACCACCAGGAACAGGATTGTTAAATGAATCCAAAGTCGGAGTATTGTGAATTCTTTTCACCGAGAGAGCTTTAATCTCTTCCTCGGAGTAGACATTGAAGTCGACCCCATTAATGGTCGAGGCGACCGGGCGCGCAAAAGTTGCCATTGTAGCCTGCAGCTCCTTGAGCAACAGAAAACGCTGGCGCACGAAATCAAAGTGCTCGGATTCAGATCTCCAAGTGCTTTTAGTTCTGGAGCGAACTTTTTTTTTTCCGGAGGAGCAACTTCTTTTCTGCCTAATTCCACCGCCTTGCCCTTTTTGGGTTTCTGCGTGGATTACTCTTGTCATGCACAATTCCTGCTACTTGTCTATCCTTCGCTCATTCAACCTTTTTGTGTTTCCCTATCGCCTGAACGCCGAGTGAGTCAAAAGTCATTTGCAGCATGGCTGACACATCGGGTAACGCGCTGAAGCGTCCTCACCCTGAGGATCAACACGACAACTCCCAGAAGAGGACCCGCTCCAACCATGGGTCCCCAGTACCAGGTCAAGGAGGCGCTGCCCCAGGCAAGCCAGATATCGCGAAAATAATGGCAGAAGCAAGGGCAAAGGCAGAAGCTGTGCGCGCTCGGCTACAAGCGCATCATGGTGGCGTGAAAGCAACACCAACACCGCCAGCACCAGCACCACCCGCACCAGATTCTGCAAGTCCTACTCCACCACCGCCGGCTCCTGCGATGTCGAAGCTTGAACAGATGAAAGCCCGAGTTGCTGCAGCTACTCAGCGAGCCAGCGCACCCTCCCAGGCACGACCCAGTGCACCAGCATACCAACCACCAACGCATGACGACGAGGGCATATCGAAGGCTCGCGGTGGTCTAGACGTTGGCCTTCATCCCGCGCTCCTCTCTGATGCCGCACCAGAATATCGTGGGGCAAATGGACGACCGACTAAGCCAAAGCGTGCTGGTGGGCCCCAGCTTGATCTGTCTGGTCCGTCTGTGGAAGAAATCAGGAATAACCCTTACTTTGACCCGGCAATCAACCCAAAAGCAACGATTGCGAAGCCCCGTCAAACCCGAGAGCTCCTATTCAATCAAAAGGGCAAATATATCCACCAGGCAGCGGCTCTGCGCAGACAAGCACAGCTGGAAGCTATGAAAAAAAGAATTGCAGAGAAATCGCGACAGGCCGGACTTGATGAGGATGTGGATGTGGAAAAGGCATTCCTTGTTCCTGCTCCCCCCGATGTAGAGTGGTGGGATGCAAAATTAGTTGATGGCAGCGACTATGACGCAATTGATAACCAGGAAAACATCAAACTCGATACCCTCAACAGCTATATTCAGCACCCTATCGAGCTCCAACCCCCCCAAGAGAAGCACATGCCTGCGCAAAAGCCCATGTTCCTTACCCCGAAAGAACAAGCCAAGATTCGTCGACAGCGACGCATGGCGGATCTGAAGGAACAGCAAGCCAAGATCAGACTGGGACTCGAGGAAGCACCGGCTCCAAAGGTCAAGAAATCCAATCTCATGCGGGTTTTGGGAGAACAGGCCGTGAAGGACCCCACGGCTGTGGAAGCTCGTGTGACCAGGGAGATCGCAGATCGGAAGGAAGCACACGAGATGACGAACGAAGACCGCAAACTGACCAAGGAGCAACGGCGCGAAAAGTTGGAGGCTCAGAAGGAGAAGGACGCCTCTTTGGGCATCTTCCAATCTGTGTATCGAATCGATAGTCTGGCGAGCGGCCGGAACCGCTTCAAGATCGGCAAAAATGCAGAGCAAAATAATCTGACAGGCATGTGTGTCATGCATCCCCGGTTCAACCTGGTGATTGTCGAAGGTGGCCACCACTCCATCAACAATTACCGAAAGCTGATGTTGAACCGCATTGATTGGACCGAAAACCCTGGATCCGATCGAGTACCTGCAGACAGCCCTGAAGCTCAGGTTTCATGGTTATCTACTGAGGATGATAAGGGAGAGCCCCGGGATTTCAGCGCGAACACGTGTAATCTCCTCTGGGAAGGTCAGACCAAAGGCCGGGCCTTCAGGAAATGGTTTGGTGCTCGTATCTGTGAAACAGACTCGGCTGCCAAAGCAGCGCTGTCCCGATCCAAGATGGAGAACTTCTGGACACTGGCGAAGAGTGCCAAGCCAGCTGAATATTAACATTTCCTACGGCTGATAATCAACGTCTAGGTCTATTGTACTTTTACCGATAGCGAACTTGCTTCAAAGCCATTATCGTTCATATGCATGCTCCAGACGCTTATTGTTTATTTACCACCCCGTAAGCACCCTAAATTGTTCCAAGCAGACACTCAATTAGAGCTATGAAAAACTTTTAATCAAACAAAATTCCCTACCCACATAACCCCCGCTCCGTATGCAAAGCAAATATTCTGATGCTGGGATATCACAGAAGAACATGTATGGAAAACAAAGTTATCAAGAAGGAGGAGGACCCTGGTTCCCGCCGCTCAGGTTGCGCAGCAGATCCAGCTGGGCTTTAACTTGATCAAAGTTCATAGCCGGGTTTTGAGCCTGGGGAGGCTGATGCTGGTGTTGCTGGGGCTGTTGGTAATGCTGCTGAGACTGTTGGTAATGCTGTTGGTGTTGCAAAAGCTGCAGGAATTGTTGCTGCTGTTGTTGTTGCAACATAGCCAGGGATTGAGGATTGAATTGAGGAGCACCCTGTTGGACGTTCTGGAAGTTATTGGGGTGCGGTTGTTGGAAGGCCGGGTAGGGAGAGAACTGGAAAGGCATCTGTGGCTGCGCTCCACCTTGTCCGAATTGCGGCTGTTGCTGTTGCGCAAGCTGTGGGTTCTGGGCTTGCTGTTGTGCGTATTGCGCATATGCGGCGAAGGGCTGGGGCATCCCGTATGGCTGCTGGGGTTGCTGGTACATTGGCTGGCTGTAGGGAGCAGCGGGTTGGGCTTGAGGCTGGGGCTGGGACTCGTGGGTTGAGCCGCTGGCCTGCTGGGGCCGACGATCCTGGTCCCACTCCCTTCCTCCGCGTCCACCTCTGCCTCGTGCTCCGCGTCCACGATCACCCCGGCCACGACCTCTTCCGCCACGGAATCCTCCACGCTCGTTGCCTTCAACTGGAGGCTCGCGGGTGTTCATCATCTCATGGAGGTTGGTAGGGCGTGCAAGAGGGGTATAGCCCTCCTCACCTCCGGCATCGTCGTAGTTGAGCTCGCTCTGGTTCAATTTTGAAGGTCCTGGGGCTGGCTTCTTGCCTTTGGGGCCTTCTCTGGCTTCCTTTCGCTCTTGTCGCTTCTGCTTCAGTTTTCGCTTATATTCAGCCTCCGCTTCATCGTCGGAGAATTCCATCTCTTCAGCGGCAACTTCCTCGTCGTGGAAGTTGGAAGCGTCACTTCCCTTCATGCCCTTGAGTGGCTGGGTGAACACAAAGGTGGAGTGCCCCTCAACATAGAAAATATCCTTCCCCTTGACTAGGCCCTTTTCCTGAACTTCGGAGGCTGTGGCATATGTGACGGTATACAGAGGGTTCTCCACTCTGCCCAGGGTCTCTGCTACTACACCAATGACCTGGCGATCATCGGAGCAGAGCAAGGAGCCCGACTCAAGTACCTGATATTCTCCAGAGGTATTAGCCTCGATAAGAACGTTGTTATCGATAGCAGCATGAATTTTGCCGAGGAACACAATCTTCATTTCGGGGGTGATCTTAACGTCAGGGATAGGCAGGACCTCCTGTTCGATCTCGTTGGTGGTCCGCAGTTGTGCGCCTGATTTTCCCTTGCCGTCTCCCTCGTCATCAGAACCACCTTCAGCCCGCATGAGAATCTGCGCTTGCTCCTCAGCGCTAAGGATGGGATAGTCGTCATCGTCACTATCATCCGAATCCGAGGAATCAGAGCTGTCTGAAGATGATTCGTATGGGGAAGAGTCTTCCTCCCACTCGGGGTGCTCCTCTCCATTGGTGTCACCAGCCTGACCAGTGGCCTCGATCATGTTGTCCTGGGGGGTATCTTGCTCAACATCCATAGCTTCGCTGAGGGGAGCAGTGGGTTCAATTTTGATTTGGTTCGCCTCTGTTTTCTCCTTCATGACTGCGTCGGTGGACTCGGGCTGGGAAATTTGCTGTATTTCCTTTTGCTTGGTTTCGGTTTCGGTTTCTTGGTGGTCCACTGATTGATCTTTCTCTTGCTGAATTGTGTGTTCGGTCGAATCCAAGCCGGTTTCTTGTTCAGAAGGGTGGTGAATAAGATTCAATCCGGGAATCATGTGGCTTGGCTTCGAGGACGTAGAGGATTCAGCTGCACTGTTTCCGGCATTTAGGCTAGTTGTACCCATGTCCGGTGTACCTGCATCCAAGGGAGTATTATAGAAATCGCTGCCGTTGTCTGGAGTCCCTGCGATAGGCGTCTCGATAAGGCAGGGCTTTTTTGGGGCAGGGCCTTCACCGGCACCTGTGTTGTCATTTGAGGGGTTGTGATGTCCTTCCATATTGAATCTTCAACTCCAATATTTATTGAATAAAACCAGTTCAACTTGAAAGATCAAAAAGTTGGACGGGAAACTTTTTTTATTTTGCCAGACTCTGCAGGGCGGTCAACAAGGTCTTATCGGTTATCGTAGCTCTGTCCATGGATCCATTTGATACCTTTCGACTTAAACTCCAACTTGCAAGATGGCAGGGAACGACAATTCCTCCGGGGATGCCCATAAGCCTCGGACAAAGAAGCAGTATGTCAATGAACTTCTGTGAGATTAAACATGACGTTAACCGATATGCAGACCCCCACCAGCTCCCTTCTACATTCCCCTCAACATCACTCTCTACCTATGCCTAGTTGCCAACACTCTCGCCGCTATATTCTCTCCAATTCAAGATTGCGATGAGGTCTTCAATTTCTGGGAACCTGCACATTACCTGCAGCATGGATATGGTCTTCAAACCTGGGAATATTCACCGGTTTACTCTATCCGAAGCTGGCTCTACGTGTCGCTCCATGCTGCCGTAGGCAAGATCGGGTCTTTTGTAGTCCACAGCAAGACAGCTGAGTTCTATACAATTCGCCTATCTCTTGCATTTTTGTGCGCTGCCTGCCAGACTCGACTATACTCTGCAATCTGTCGCACGCTCAGCCCCCGCATCGGTCTGTTGTTTGTGATGATCGTCACACTCAGCCCTGGCATGTTTCATGCTTCGACTGCCTTTTTGCCCTCTACATTCACCATGTATATGTCTATGCTTGGTCTGGCTTCGTTTCTTGATTGGAAAAATGGCCATAAAACAGCGCAGGGCATCATGTGGTTTGGGCTGGGGACAATTGTTGGGTGGCCGTTTGCCGGTGCTCTCATTGTCCCTCTTCTAGCTGAGGAGGCCATTGTTAGTTTCATTTCTGGATCTGTTGGCTCACTGCTGTACAATGTCTTTGACGGCATCATTCGTTGTTTGTCGATTCTGGTAGGTGACATTCTACTCAATTTCGATGTCTTTACTAAGATGTGTCACAGGCTCTTGAAGTTGCAGTTGACTATGCTTTCTTCCGAAAGCTCGTTCTCGTCCCCTGGAATATTGTTGCGTACAACATCTTAGGTGGAGAAGGTAAGGGACCGGATATTTTTGGAACTGAGCCGTGGACTTTCTATGTTCGAAACCTTTTGCTCAACTTCAATGTCTGGTTTGTCTTCGCCATGCTATCCGCGCCCATCCTACTTTTCCAAATCGTCTTTCGATCGCACACCACTTCCTTGCAAACATCATTGCGGTCCATGACCCTGGTCGCTCCCTTTTACATGTGGTTCGGAATTTTCTCGGTCCAGCCACACAAGGAAGAGCGGTTTATGTACCCAGCATACCCGTTTCTAGCACTCAACGCAGCTTTGAGTTTCCATATCATTTTGACATATCTTGGCTCTACTAACCAAAAGGAACTGATCGGTCGCATACCAACCAAACTAAAAATTGCTGCAGCCATGTCAGTTGTTCTAGTCGGTCTGAATGCCGGCATGCTGCGCACTCTAGGGATGGTCACGGCTTATAACGCTCCATTGAAAGTGTTCGAGCCCCTACAGAGTGTGGATATCGCGCATGCAGGAGACTCGGTGTGCTTCGGCAAGGAGTGGTATCGCTTCCCGTCGTCATATTTCCTTCCCAACGACATGCGCGCCAAGTTCATCCGAAGTGAATTCAGAGGACTACTTCCAGGCGAGTTCCCAGATGCGCCGAGTTATCTTGGGCGTCTGGATGGTGCCTCGCAGATTCCATCTGGTATGAATGATCTCAACATCGAGGACCCCAGCAAATACGTAAGTGTCTCAATTTGGCGCTGAAACGATTACCCCTGTTCCTATGCTGACTTTATAACAGGTTGATATCTCTCAATGTTCTTTCCTGGTTGACTCTTACTTCCCTGGTCACGACGCAACCGAGCTAGAGCCCCATTATTTCCTGGACAAGACGCAGTGGGAGACGCTTTCCTGTGCAAGCTTCCTCGATGCGTCTCAAACAGGTCTGCTAGGTCGATTGATCTGGATTCCTGATCTCCCAGTCATTCCAGCTCGCTTCCGACGCAAATGGGGCGAATACTGTCTTCTCCAACGAAAAGTCGCAGGTCATGTATAGTTCCAGGATACACCTAAAAACCCTTCTAGATAAAACCTCTAGAAGCATTATGTAAAAACATCAACACGGAAACATTCGCATCTAATGCAAGCAAATAAATAACACAGGAGGTTATCAAGTACAAGTGTAGCGTCACCTTTCCCAATTGGGACAAAATATCCCTATCAACCTTTAGGTTTTCTCCGCAGATAAACCCTCCCTCCGCTTCATTAAAGGCCAACAACGGGCAAACAATGGAGAAATTCATGCAGTCCCGGATTTGACAGCTCGAAAAAGACAGCGCCCCTCTCTTCCCCAGACAAGATAGTCTCTATTCCCAGCCACAGCTCACATGTCGACCAAAGATGGCCTATCTCGTATCGGATTAACACGGCATCTCGCATGAGAGCACCATCTGGGCAGTTAATTTCTTACTCCGCACTCTGGACTTGATAAGGGCGATCCGATTTATCTTCACTATATACTAAAATAACATTTGGTTCCTCGACTTTCTGCTTTCGATGTATCTTCAAACTACGTATTGCCTAGAAGTATCTCACCATGACCATGTCGGTACTTGAGTCCCTATGGGGAACTATCTTATCGGCCTCAACGAAAAAGGTCGTGAATGCCTCTCTCATTCTCAGTGTCTGTGTATGGGTTGTTATCTTGGTCTCACGGAAGTGGGCTTCTAGCACAACCAAAGGTTCAAGAAGTGATCTAGAGAAACCCGTTACAGGTGCGAGAAGAAAGATTACCAGGTCACCACCAGGTGGTAAGTAAATGCAGAATGTTAATTCATGCAATAATTATAAAGACTCACTGACTCTTGCTGCATAGAATGGACTCCATCGGACTTCAAACGGCCAACAGCAGCCCCGTACTCAGGATGGGATGTCCATTCAACAAAGCCAATTCCCTACCGGCCCTTTAGATATGGCCCGTAAGTTGAACAAATCCATTGAAGATATTGCTAGCCGTCCTTTAACCTTTTCTGGCAGAAACTACTACGTAACGCTGGGTCTAAGGAGCATGAAATGGGACGAATGGATCGGTGAGTCGTTCTTCGATACATAGATCACACCAGCCCATTGACCTCATATATCCCAAATACAGAGCTCGACAATCATTATCTAAAATACCACGCGGACAAAGCACGCCGTATCAAAGAGCGCGGAAGCAAATGCTGCCATACAGCTCCAGAGGCAATGGATGCTGCAATCGAACTACTCGAAGAATTGTAAGAGCAATCAAAACACACACACCCATATCCAAGAATTACCTCCTAACACCCCTCCCACCAGATGCACCTACCTCCCCGAAAGATACCCAAGCATGTTCACCAAGACCGCAACGGGAATAACCAACAAAGTAACCAACGAAACCTTCAACATAACGCAACGCCCACTCCCAGAGGACCCAATGGCGACAGCAGCCCGACTAGTCCAAGACGACCTAGCGCTAATGATCGAGCGTCCCGATGGCGAATACTACCTTCTCGCAGGCGCGATCCTGCTAGCCGGGTTCTGGCGACTGAGCGATAAATTCGGGATGCGACTGTCTGAAATCCACACATCAGGCGATGTGCCGCAGTACAAGAGCAAGCTGGAGAAAGGGATGATGAATTTCTTCCGACGACTACGGCCCGAAGAGCCTTTTCTGCGGAACAACTATTTCATCCAGGTGGATGATAACCTGGCGTGGTCGCATAGTATTGGGTCTGAGGATGCGGAGACTGTGTCGTGGAATACAGCGGAGAAGAACCGGGCTATCGAAAATCATTTCTTTCGCTCAGAGAGGCAGTCATTGAGGAGATTGCCCAAATCTGGGGCGGTGGTTTTTACAATTCGGACTTACTTTGAGCCTGTTACTGCCATTGTTGAGGAGCCTTATGTCCCTGGGCGATTGGCGGATGCGGTTAGGAGTTGGGGGGATGATGTTGGTCATTATAAGGGGAAGGAGAAGTATCAAGATGTTTTGTTGGAATATTTAGATGAGAAGCATAGAGTGCAGGTTGAGGGGGGGCTAGAGATTGAGAAAGAGGATGAGGTTAGGAGGTATCCTCTTTAGGCACAATCTGGTTATGGCTATTCATGAATGATGTCTTTTGTTTATTCAATTATTTTGGAGATTTTTCTTTCCAAGGTCGGGACTATTAGATGCAAATATTGCAATGTCTGATCGCCAGTATATCACTGGATCAAGAAGACCTCGACAGGCGCAATGTGGATGTAGTAAAAGAGCATGCTCAGAGGTAACCAACTCCATATCCCTGCACTCTTGCCGAACGCGTTAATATAACTCGGATACAATTAGAACCATCATATATCCGCAATGGATCCAGCTCTCCGACCTCCACCCCGTCTCGCATAAGCCATCTCACGCTCCTCGCGCCAGGAGCACTCATCGCGGAACTCACATATCCGACATTTCCATGCGTCCATGATATCCACGCCACGGGGATCTCGCTTGCCGCGCCACCAGGTCATCTGGTCGGTGAGGTGGGAGGTGAGGGTTGTCGGATCGAAGAGGAAAGATCTGCTTCCGATGAGCTGTCTGTCTAGGTCTTCATTGGCGACGGATGAAAGATATCTAGCTGTGAGCACTGGGGAGAGGAGGGTTGAGTATGGTTCCAAGAGCTCTGGCTGGGAGACTGATGGGATCGATGGTGCGACGGATTGTGTGTCGGGGGAGTTTTCGGGGAGGAATGTGAGGCGGAGTTGTTGTATCATAAGACTCCAAAGACGGGAGAGGTTATTATGAGTTAGGAGTATTCCGGTTGAGTCTTGGCTAGCAGTAGAAGGACCCTCATTCTGTTCGGATTCTTGGGAGGAAAGAGCATCGAAGAATTGGTCGTTCAGGCCGCCAACCTCAGAGACGAAGGCGTTCGTGAACGGTTTCTCGGCGTCGAAGTCGTAACGAGTGGCGAGGAGGTCAATGGTGACATCGTCGCTCGTGATCAGCCGGTTGAGCATATGGTAGTATAGTTGCAGCTGGAGAAGAGTAGGTCGAAACCCCGTGCTTTTGACATTCGGTAGTGATCTGTTACCCTTCGTCTTCACGTCTGTCAAATAAATCCGGGGCAGGTCATAGACCGCCGCAGGCAGTTCTGTCTCAACATGCCCCGTTTTCTCAGCTTCACCCTGCCCCAGATCCGAAAGCTTCATCCCGCCTTGCGAAGAAGAAAGCAAAAAGTCCGATAAGGACATTTGATACTCCGGCAGCGCAGCTCGCGACGCTACAATATCCGCATAGTAACCAGCAGCAGTAGCCTCAAGCTCCGAGTCTGGACACTCGTAGGACAACTGATCAATAATGCCATTGACAAATTCCCCATCGACCACGCCCCAAACCTCCATCTCACGCGTAACGCCATAATCGCGCAGCATGCGCAGTCCCTGAATAACATTCCATATCCTGAGACCCCACGCATCCTCTTTAGTTGTGATTTCCACGGGGACTGTAGTGTAGATCTCATCCTCGAGGGTCTTGTGTATGGAGCTCCCCTTCTTCATCGCAGCAGTTCTCTTTTTCTGGCCCCCATGTTTGGTCAACGTGAACCAGTACTGCAGCTCGCACCAAGCTGGCGAAACGAGATCAGTCACCGAGAACGCTTTGTTAGGTGCTTGCCGGAACCGTTCGACGGGGGATCGAGTATCGAGCGCCGCGGCTTCGGGATCCTGTTGTGTCCATTCGAGCGCGCGCGCTGCATTGCGCTCGCGTTCTTTTACTCGGCCCTCGGTTGAATTAGAGTTCTCGACTAAACGCTTCGGAGAAGATGTTGTCAGCTCAATTCGGGTTGGATATAATGGGACTGATCCGCATGGAAAGTGTAGATGATCAACGGCGAAGGGGAAAGAAAGATTGAAGATGAAAAAGCATACCAAACGGGCTGTGCCTGTTGTTGTTGCCAGCGCGCGGGCTTGACCTCCCCATTGCACTCGCACTCGCGCCCGATCTAACCGCCTGACCTGGTCGAGGCTGCGACTGCCGCCATGCTGAGCGAGGCCCTGCCCGACCCAGCACCTTAGGCGGCCGAACGCTAGCTGGCTCAATACCATCCTCGATATCTGCAACGAGTGCCTCTAGAGCTTCCGGTTGCAATGACTCGAGTTCGGCGAGTTCGGGGGATTTTGGCGTGGTGGTGTATTCGATCGGCGTTGGGGTCGAGATCCAGGTTGGTGTCGAGGTCGAAGTGGCGTCGGCGTCGGTCGCGTATTCCGCGACAGCTTTGTTCAGCAAACTGTTCAACAAATCCTCTTCATCTGGAGTGAAGTCGGATCCGTAGTCAGACTCATCCTCGTTTATCTCTGGGCAGGACATGCCTGCGACTGGAGGGAATCATGTCGTGTAGATCGAGTTGATGTTCGGGTGCGTCATTGCCATGTGAGGGAGCTGCCTTAAGAATCCCGTTGTTCTTACTGGCCGAACATCACATACTTGATACTGGGAGAAATATAAGATATATTACATAGAATACAAATTAGTAAAAGAGATTGAAGTCTATTGATCTAACTAATTGCTCTTGGTATCCCATGCATCGCTCCACAAAAAAAAAACTATCCCAAACGCCAATACTAGGCAGGGATCTATGAAACTATCTATTCAACCAACCACTGTACTTTAAGTCTACTATTCGTGCATTCATGCAGTCCCAGCAGATATCATATTCCCGCCAGAAACAGCATGAAAAGCACCAACACCCATCCCCTCTGCCGCAGCAAGCGCTTCGGCGGCCGCAACCTCCTTAGCAGCCTTCTGATTCAACCAGCTCAGATAGGTCTGCCAGCCAACCGCAATGCACCCGGAAAAGACGTTCCGGAACTGCGCTGGGACGTACATAAAGCTGAACGCAGTAACAGCGGGCCAGAGCTTGACACTGTTCTGGATACTCACGGGGAGAGCCTTCTTCAACCGCTCCCAGGTCTCGTCAAGAGTCGCACCAGCAAGCAGAGAGTGCACGCTAAAGAAGTACGTATTGAAGACAGGTGTGAAGCACATCTGCTGCACAACGACCTTCGTCAAGATCGAGAGGAACTTGCTCGGGTAGTTGAAATGGTTGCCGAGGAACATGAACCTAAGAGAGAGCGGTGATGTCAGTCAACATGTACATACGCATACAGGTATCCCCCACATAGTCACATTGTAACAATCCGATAGAAATCGTTGGTCACACGTCGCATAACCAACTCCCGCATCACAGAACATACCATTTATAAGACGGAATACTCGATCCAGCCCCAACACACAGATGGCGCAGAGTCCTGAGCGGGTCATAACCAGCGCTCACGGTGCCCCCATCCCCCTGCGCAACCACATCCCCATCTTCAGAATCAAATGTGGTAGGCGCAGGAACCTCGGAAGGAAACAGCATCTGCGCGCTCAGATCACCACACAGGTAGATAACAATCGAGCTCCAGAACTGCGTCGTGTACGGCTTGCGCTCCTGCACGCGCGCATACCATCTTCCAAACTTTCCGACCGGACTGGCCTTTATCATCTCGCGGAATCCGCGACTTCGCACCGGTGTGGTCGTTGCTCCAGCTGCGGCTGCCGCTGTAGCGGCGGGGGTTGTGTTTGGCAGCTGGGGTAGAGTTGAGGCATTTGAATGGTGCGAGTGTGGTGGGTTTGTAGGTGGGGTATTTCTCTCAGCAGGTGTCTTCCCTGTAGAGTGGTTGGAGTTGTGTCGGCGTTGTGGGCGTGTTCGGCGCAATACCTGGGGTTGGGATCTGGGGGTTATCGGTCGGCGGAGAGTGGAGGTTGAGGGTGAGGTGGAGGCCCTGGTTAAGAGGCCATTTCGGAGGAGGGTCATGTCCAAGACCACATCTAGTTATTTACAAAGAATAGTTGAAAGTAGAAGTAAAAAAAAAAAGATTGTAAGAATTGGAAAACAATAAGCTTTGAAATCCGAAATCCCGAACTCGGTGATTGTGGCGATAAGAGCCGAAAAGCGGGTGAACCTCCGAGGTCAGTCCCGGATGCGGGTTCCGATTATGTTGTAGGCTTAGATTTAATGTCGTGATTTACTGTGATGTACTCTATTTGAGCAAGAAGAAAGTGGCCGAAGCAAACTGATATTTGTAAAATAAAACCTGAACTCCAACTCTATACAATGCATCCCATAAAAACATTAGACGGATGAGGTTACCCTCAGTATGATATAAACGGGTATCAAAGTAATAACAAACATAACATGTAGATGAGGTACTTTTGGTGACATGAAAGAAAAGAGATCAATAGAAACTATGATTAGCGACACAGGGATGTATAGGTATGACAAGCCCGGACAAGATATGGTAAGGTGAGAGGGGATATAAACAAGCTGCTCAGCAGCCGCCTATTGCTTGAAGGATTCACGAGTGTGGACACGGTCAATATCGTAAGGGTTTCCCTCATAGGTAACCGAGCGAGCCAACGAGCCAGTAGTGCGATTGGAAGCGACAGATTGCGCACGGCTGCGAATGCGCTCCGTGGGAAGTTCTTCAACACCGTCCTGAGACTCGCTGGAGAGTGAGCCTTCGGGCGCAGGGGCCTCTGTGCGGTCGTATTCCACTTTCTCATCTTCTGCCGGCGCGGCAAAGACCTGCTCCTGAATCTTGCGCATGAATGCGTCGGACTGAGCGGCGAACTTGCAACGGCTACGGATCGCGGGTCCGTACTTGTAGAACAAGAATGGGAAGGGCACGCAGGCAAGCGCCAGGAAGGCTGGGATCGATGATGCCCAGTGGATACCCAGGTTCTTATACATGTAGGTGGTGAAGAGGGGGAAAGCGGCACCGAAGAGGGAACGAATAACAGAGTTGGCGGCTAGCACGGAGGCGGCGAAGATGGTGTAGGAGTCAATGAGGTAGTTCATGATGCTAAGGAAGACTAGGACCATTCCGAAGCCGAAGGGGACGCCGGCTGCGATGCTGACCATGAAGTGGATCGAGGGGTAGTTGGTCCATGCGAACCAGAATAGGCCGATTGGGATTGCGACGGATGCGATGAGGCAAGGCGGGAGACGTGCCTCCGGGGGTGCGAATCCATTATGTTTATCGGATACCCCGATGTAGCGCTTGTTGTCCCAGAGGGAGTAGACGACGGCAGCCAACATGCCGATCATGATACCGAGGAAGGCGAGGCCACCAACACCCTGGTTCCAACCGCGGGTCTGCTGGTAAACAATAGGGAAGGCAGCGAACATCATATACAAGGTACCGTAGACAATAGCCATGTAGAGAGAAAGCAAGAACACGATAGGCTCCTGGAACAAAAGAATCCAAGGACGGGACAGTGACACTTTGAAGGAGTCCTTGAGAGACACCTTGCCTTGGTCAATTTCAAGCTTACTCCGATAGACCTTGCCCGACAGCTTCGAGAGTCTCTCCGCACGGCGACGGAGAAGCACGGGCGCATAGGTCTCAGGGATAGTCAAAGAGCCTATAATCCAAACCGTACCAGAAAAGATGGCAAGGAAACCCATGACCCATCGCCAGCCGCCATCACTCATACCAATGAATCCACCAGCGATGGGGCCGATAATGGGGCCGAGGAAAGGTGCAGCAGCGAACAAACTCATAGCGATACCTCGCTGCTTAGCGGGAAACATGTCCGCAATGACACCACCAGCGTTAGTCAAAGGCGAGGATCCAAAGGAACCAGCGAAGAACCGGAGGATGATGATGGACCAAGCATTTTGGGAACCTGCGACTCCGGCATTAAAAGCTGTGAGAGCAGCGTAGGTAGTAACGAAGAGGATTTGGCGGCCAAACAGCTCACTCAGTGGAGCCCAGAGCAATGGTCCAATCTATACCAAAGCAAGTAACGTTAGTATGCATGAAAAACAGATTACGCAAGCTCAAGAGCCAATGCCTGGAGGGTCGTGGTCTTACCGCGAAACCGAGAACGAAAAGCGAAACACCAAGAGTAGCAAGTTCTTGCCCGATATTAAACTGCATTATGATCTCCCGGAGACCGCCAGTATAGGCAGATGATACCAGTGAAACAGCCAATGTTGCGACGGCCACCAGCATGGTTAAAGTCCATTTTTTCGTCTCACTGAAGTTCATAGGATTGCGAGGGTCGTTGGGAATCCATGTTACTTCAAAGGGTTCCTCGTCTGTTCCTGAACCGGGGTATGGGTGATCGATAATCTCTTGCGTGACGACACCCTGGTCAAAGACCAAGCGCCAGAAGGGAATTTTTGTTGGGGCGGTGGACTCAATCTTGTCCGAGACCTGAGGGTCTGCTGCCATGGTGGGCAGGTAGTGAATTAAGGTTGTGATATGTGTATTCGAGGGGAAGTATGTGTCGATTAGGACGAAAAACAGGTGGGGTTGAAGCTTTGCGGGGAGAGGATATGCCGAGGAAAATTAGTGGAATGAAAGTTGGATACCTCGGGATGGAGCTCTCTATATATAAAGGGGCTTGCAGGGTTATGAATGCGATGTACCCATGCAAATAAAGTACGGATATGTGGAAATCCGGTGTCCAGGTGGGATAGGTGGGTCCTGGACCCGGGCAAGATATTATGTAGACCATAAAAGTTGGGATCTGGACCCTCGGTTGTGTTGTTTTGGGGCATATATTTTTATATTGATTTATGCTGATTTTCATACTGATTTCATACCTATATCAGTGTAATTCCAAGGTGAATTAAAGGTTATGGGTAGCACAGAGATGCAGATACAGATGCAGCCCTCGAGGCGACAGAAATGCTCTCTAGGGCTTATCTGTTTGCAGCCACGTTTTTGAATACACGTGATTTATGAAGTTTTATGTTGAGCCACTCGGGTATGCGGCATCGATTTGATTGGTTCAACTGGGCTACCGAAGGTTTCATGATAATTATAAATTCCAGCCTTGGAAGGGTCCTACCACTTCTATTCTAGTGTATTCTAAGGGGAAATTGGTTTCGTTAGCTAATCTTGTACATAAGACGGAGTACTCCGTACACTAATCCATGGATGCACAGATAAATCTCATAAATGTGCACGGGCCGTGCACAAACTTCCGCCCACATTCGCACGTTCCGCGAATCGGACTCGGTACCTTAAGCTTCATCCACCCGTGGATGCTGTGAACAGATCTAAAGTTCTCTGAATCGTGTCAGCCAAGGCTAATCTCCGGTGGGCGTAGATAAATGGGTTTATAATCTTATGGCCGACTAAACTCCATGTACGGAGTATTTCGCATATGAATAGCATTATGATTATCAATCATCATGGTCATGGGCTATGCAGGGTGGAGCTACTATGTACAATATGTATAAAATAGTTATCCAGTCTTTTCTGATCAGCCCCTGATGAGTGCCCAAGTCAGCAATTGGGATGCGTAATTTGCTTACCTGTCTCGGAAATATGTTTGAAATCAACACCAACCGCTAGGCACCAGCGCCGTGCTTTGCTCCAGGTAACCGTGGAGATAATCGAATGCTAAGTCAGACCATCAGTACTACTTTGAAATGCCCATATATAGATCCTTATCGTTGAAAACGGGTGCATTAAATAGGGGTGTACGTTGTTTTGATCGAATTCACATAGTTTATCAGGCCACCCATATCAAGGACATGCATGGGCTGATATCGCCCGTCATATGAGGCATGCACGGACTCGATTTTTTTTTTTTTTTTTTTTTTAAAAAAAAAAGCAATGAAAAACATATCCAGAGCTGGTTCTAAATGCCAGCTGGGGATTAGTTATGTATGTCGTACCTTGGAAAGAAAAAGAATATTAGGCTATAACAGGCTAGGTCTCCGAGGTTCGGTCAAGGTTCGGCACTGTCATTAGGGGAAAAAACCACAGACGGGTGGCTTGCAGAAAAAATGAGTAAGGAGAACCAGGGAAAGCAAAGCCACCGCTAGAATTTTCCACAGTGCTTGGCGCCTTCTTTTTTTCGCCTCAGGCCAACTGTCAGATTTGGATCCACTGGGAATAGATACATTTACTACCAGGCTATACGCCCTTGATCTTGGTACCCAAGAGGGTTATACGTGTCAACCTATATCAGTTGGTGACTCTCAAATTCAGCTACATCTATTGCGAGTCTTGAAGTCTTTGAAGCTTTGGTGTCAGTAAGATCAAAGAAACAAAACACGCGTTCAAGTCACTCTGTCCCCACTTCAAATCCGCATGACAGCTGGGATAGACACTTAAACCGCCATCCATCGTCTGGGTCAGCCCTGCGAGTAGAAGATGATCAATTTTTCACCATACTTATGTAGCACAAAATAGCTCACCCGCCTGAATATCCATGTACGACTGTAAAATCAGCATTGCTATCTTAGGAATGCGCTCCAGTTGCCTCCAGTTGCATACTAAATTTGATACCAGGATCGGCAAATGTATATCCATACATATGGATGTATTCATCTTGTCTACTCCCTTCTTCTCCAAGTTCAACTTGATCATTTGATCTTTCCTGTACATATAATTCAGTCTTATTTGGGGATATTCCTCGTGATCTGAAAGTAATGAGTCATTCTGATATCTACCTAGGTACAGTACAAAATTGTCTACAGGGCTGTCTACAAGTACTACTGCTCTAGAGCCCTATGATGTGTTGAGGTCATTGTGACTCAATCCTACCCACACATTTGATTTGGAATTAAGTGCTTGTGTGGCGATCAGATTAGATCCTAGAGTCCAATCAATTAGCATGATACGTATGAACTAGTCGGAATCCTGAGTTCAGGTTGCGTGCTGGTTCATTCTTTAGTTGTGTGATTGCCTGGTTGTTGTTTTTTTCTTAATGGAATTTGATTTGGGGATTTTCCAAGTTCCAGATACGTATTAGACCGGGGTTAAGTCAAGTTGAGGTCATAATCTGAGTTACATTGAGTGCTTTGGGAAGTCCCAGTACAAGGAGGTTACCACGTTCTTATGGCTATTTCTCCAAGTGGTCAAGAACTGTTTCAATCTCAGAATCCCCTGTTTTTTAATGTCCAATTATACAAGTCTCGTCGTACTTGTGATGTTGCCTCTTTGTTGTGCAATAAAAGAGAACTTCCGGGAAGATTTGGGTGGAATCAAATCACTACATGCAGCTTGTATGTGGAATTTTAGAAATAAGATAGAATGAGGTCCAGAAATAAGATATTTTATTATTGCAGGTTAAATAATTTCCCATCTCATTTTGGATAGTGTTGTTGGGCGATACTAACCCCAGGGGACTCAGCAGGTTGGAGGGTGTCAAGGGCAAGTCCCGCGACCGAAGAGTCTAACCAAACATAAGACAATGAGAAGAGAAGAGCGACAGACAAACCCTCTCTCATGAGAACTACGCGTGGAAAGACGCGTCGATTACAAGCAATTACTCGTTACTCTTACTGTGTACAAGGAAGAGGGAAAAGAATTGAATCATAGAAGACAGCATTAAAGTGTCTTGTCATGAGATGATGCGCGCTAAGGCATCATGTTAAAGGGAGCCCCCATAATGTACATGCCCATGACTGATCCATCAATCGATGGTGAGCAGTAGCATCGATAAAAAAGCAAAATTGCGAAGCAACCCGGTGCCGAAACCCATTGATATTTGAAAGCAAACCCATCATGTATCGCCAGTAGTCATGATAAAAAGATAAAAACAAACCCCATGCTCGCCTTTCAGAAAACCAGCTCGTTGAAAAGAAAAATTACGAGCGCTCGCCACGGAGACGGCGGGCCAACTGGATGTCCTTGGACTGGATGGTGACACGCTTGGCGTGGATGGCGCACAGGTTGGTGTCCTCGAAGAGAGAGACGAGGTAGGCCTCAACGGACTCCTGGAGAGCACCGATGGCAGAGGACTGGAAGCGGAGATCGGACTTGAAGTCCTGGGCGATCTCACGGACCAGACGCTGGAAGGGGAGCTTGCGGATCAGGAGCTCAGTGGACTTCTGGTAGCGACGGATCTCACGGAGAGCGACGGTACCTGGAGATGAAACGTTAGAAAATGTTCCAGTGTATACTTGATTGATGTCTTGTTTGACATGATATGGAACTTACCGGGCTTGTAGCGGTGGGGCTTCTTGACACCTCCGGTAGAGGGGGCGGCCTTGCGGGCGGCCTTGGAAGCGAGCTGCTTACGGGGGGCCTTGCCACCAGTGGACTTACCTATTGGAGACAGTTAGCAAGATGTTTCTTATCCAACGCGTGAACGCGTCACCAAATCCTCCCTCGGCGCGGTGATCTGACTAAGCAGGCATCACCAGCAAGGTATGAAAGGTGAATAAAATATGATTAAAAAGATAAATACTTACGGGCAGTCTGCTTGGTACGAGCCATCTTTGATGATAGACTTGATGAAAAAGTGGTTTTGTTGATAAAAGAGTTGGTTGGCGTTGGATGGATGTAAAAGGGAAGAGAGAGGAGGGTGGGGGAAGAGTATTTGTAGGAGACGGGAGGGGGGATTGATCTGGAAGGGAGCAACGAATCAGGGGAAGTGAGCCGATCTGGATCAGTCAGGAAATTCAGCGCGTAGGACTGGGGACTGCGTAGCGTGTAGCCCAGAGACTGATTTGCGGTGAACTTTGATTGGCTGAGCTAGATCAAAGTGCTGGTACTGCCAACTAAGCGAGACATGGACCAATGAGAATGCAGGATCAGGGAGTATAGAATGTCAAACCCTTGAATTCTTGATCTTGCAACCAACCTCCCTTGGATCAATAATTAATGCATTCTGATGTATTCAGCATCCTTTGGAATGTATAATGGACCTCTTTTTATTGTAGATTTACATTGTTGGTGGAGGATTATAGGAGGATCAATGATGGACCACGGCAAAGTCGGCGTTCCAACTCTGGGGTCACCCGGTAGATCAAGGTTGGTCTGTGATCCTGCGCTCTCATTGGTGGACGCGATCCCTAGCGCGTGATTTCCCAGGCCTCGCTCATTCCCGTATCATACAAATATCCTCTGTCCACTTCCGTTTCCTTTCCCTCTTTTTCCATCAATTCCATCGACAACTACTCAACTACCAACTCCTCTTCAACCCACTTCTACAACCCCCTTTTTTTCTAATCCATATTCAATATGTCTGGCCGTAAGTTATTACCCCACACTTCTATTTCTTCATCAAGAAACGCGTTCTAACGCGTCTCATTTCAGGCGGCAAGGGTGGAAAGGGTCTCGGCAAAGGTGGTGCCAAGCGTCACCGCAAGATTTTGCGTGACAACATTCAGGGAATTACCAAGCCCGCTATCCGTCGTCTCGCACGCCGTGGTGGTGTCAAGCGTATCTCCGCTATGATCTACGAGGAGACCCGTGGTGTCCTCAAGACCTTCCTCGAGGGTGTCATCCGTGACGCTGTCACCTACACTGAGCACGCCAAGCGCAAGACTGTCACTTCTCTTGACGTTGTCTACGCTCTCAAGCGCCAGGGCCGTAAGTTTCCACGTGTCTTTCCATCACACAACTCGTCTCTAACCTTCCTATTCAGGTACCCTCTACGGTTTCGGTGGCTAAATCATTTGTTCTTTTCTTTTCCGGGCTGGTTCACGGTACGACGGGACGTTGGGGTGTTCTCTGATTTATTTTACTACAACTGTCATGGGTCTCTGGGTTTGCTTTTCATAACACTCGATTACCACTATTGCGCGTCCATAGTGTGCGCTTCTGAGCTTTTCTGTATCATAGCGGCCTCCACATTACGGCTGGCACCATGGACATGGTGGGATCAAGCACTTAAGTGCGATCCGATACGAATACAATCAAAACTTGAAATAATTTTTGACTTCTATGGGTCTTGCGAGTCGTATGCCTCGTGAAATAGATGCCTTGTGTCTTTACGTGTTTGTTCCTTTGGGTTATGCCGTAGTATTTGGCACTCTATTATTCCCGGTGGTTGGATATTTGTTGTTTTGCCGTTCGTAATTCAAGTCTTAGCGCTTTATGGTTGCTTGACGCGTTATTTTGACTGCCTGAGGCCTCCTTTCGGATGCTCATCATTGACTCATCATTGATTTTGTATGGGGTTTGATAAAGCTCTATGCCACTGACCCGTAATGTCTATTCCTTCAAATGTCCATATATGGCTACTCTACATATGCCACACTATTGTTGGTTTTCTATCATGATGTGCATAAAATACATATCATACAACTAACTATACGTGTCTGTGCAAACTTCATCTTCAATTTTCTGTAGCTTGTGTTTAATTTGTGTTCTTTGGTGTCATTGGTGTTTACTTGTGCAATATATTAACTCGATGTGATTTGGAGGTGGAGATTGTGTGATGTTTACATAGTTGTAGTATTTCATATATATATATCAGTGCCAACGTTAGATTAGACTCATAATTACCACATAAAACAGCGCAAACCCCACACGACCTATACCAAATGAGTATACAGGTACCTAAAATTGTCCAACTGCCCGCATTAAAAATATGAGGCCACCATGATGGCGTGGCAAGGAAAACAATACAAGTTGAAGTTGAACGCCCTAAAACAGTAGTTCAACTTTTCTTGGCGCTATGAATCATGTATGATAAATCCCGACCTGTCCAGAACCAAGCTGCAAATAAACTCGTTTAAACAGAAATAAGCCAGATTGATACCGAAAATTCAAGCCCAAAACTCAATCATAATTGTTTCCCTTCGAAATCTGGTGGAAGTCCATTTGTTATATGACCGAGTTGAACCTCGAAAAAGTGGGGTCCAACATTCCTTGGCACTACGACCGAGGGCGCCTCCACAGACACAGCAGACATGGTCTGAAGCGCTATTTCAGGATTTTCTCCCAAAAGACAAATGTCAAAACAAATCGAGATATAGTCCACCAGACAATCAAAAACCACAGCGGCAAGCGGGGAGGTACAGCGGCAATCTCTCATGGGATGTCGGGACAGGTCAAAGGGCATCCACAAACAAACAGCATCTGCAGGCAGCAAGCATCAACATCCTCGACGCCAGCTACATGCGAGAGTACCCAACCCCCAATGTGATGTCAAGTTCTCAAGAGCATATGCACACGTCTACATGTGCCTAACATAGCCCCCAAAATTGGTCAACATACGACTACTGGGTAGTAATTGATGGGCCGCCCTTGCCCAGAAATCGGAAACTGGATGAGTTGAACTTGCCAGCCACATCACCAAAAGACCAACAGGAACACACAGAGAAAAGAAAAAGAGCGACTGAAGCCGCTGAAATGAAGGCCTAAGGCTGAAATGCAGGCAAATATCCTAACCCTGTATGATCATGTAACATGTAAGTCACCTATGGAACCAGACAGTCAGAGGTACATATAAACCTACCCTCCCCCATTTTGTCCCCATTATCACTATCCTCACCACCCAAGCCCACAAACCAAAAAAGAGCCAAGTATCAATACTACCAAGATTTGCCATAATCCTGTCACGATGGGGAAAAAGACATTATCGAAAAGTGCACAGATGTTGAGAAATACCCAGCTCAAAGAACTTCTCCACGGGCTAGCAAGGTGCTGGACTAATACATGAAGAATGGAAAAAACCACTAACAATACTGCAGCATACGCTTTGACTCCAAATATAGCGACCTTACCATTGTGTGTGGCGACGAAGAACACGCTGTGCACAAATGCATAGTTTGCCCAAGGTCGGGCTTCTTTGCCGAAGCTTGCGATGGTGGATTCGAGGTGAGAAGCATGATTGAGATGACGGGAATAAGACCCAGGAGGGTTCCAGTGGCTAACTAAACACAGGGATTGACCATAAATCGGGTTGTATTAGACGATGAGCCGACTCTAGTCAAGCAAATGGTCGAGTATCTTTATACTCTGGACTACCACGTGGAGGTTCTTTCCCAACAAACGGATCCTTCTCCACAATCAAACGGAGAAGCGGGCGAGGATAACCCGGAACAGCTCGATGGCATAGACGAAGAAGCAGCGACCGCATGCAATACCTTGTCGGTTCACATATCGATGTACTCACTTGCAGACCGAATGTGCATCCATGGGCTCAAGGCTCTCTCAAAGGAAAAGCTTGAAAAGGAGCTGACTCGGCGGCAGCTGGACTCGAGCACGTTCCCGCATGCCACCCATGAGATATACAAATCAACAACTGCAAGCGACCAAGGTTTACGGGACCTGATAGTGAAAATTACCATGGACAACCTTGTATGCTTGAGAACTGGATCGAAAACCACTGATCCCACAGAGGCGGAAACCGGGGTGGAATCAGGACCTGTGGCTTTTACCGACTCCCTGGTGAAATCCGTCCCACAGTTTTCGTCTGATTTGGCTGTGGCAATGATGGACAGGACGGTTGCCGACTGGAATCGCCATGGGATGTGTAAGCCGAACTGGGTTCGGCAGGATAACTAATAGGGCACCAACTCTAAGGTTAGCCCGGAAGAAAAAGTAGGAAGGCTGAGGTGAGATCTGCAAGCAATAAGACAAGAGTGTTGAGAAAATTCGTGATTCATTGCAAGAAAATTGTAATTGTAGCTAAGCTGCCCTCGGGCATTATGTCGGTTATCGGGCTTGATTAAAGCGCACAAACAACCATCTCAATCAGCTATTGTACGCACCAGAAGGAGAATAGAAAACGTCAAAATAAGACCGAGAAGCAAATATCAGACTACATAATAGAGCGAGCACCTATGTGTAAAACCAAAGAAACCACCAGGTCGATACCCCAGGCTGACTTGACCCGCAACAACCACGCACCAGCATGGCCACCATCCTACACGATTACACAGACCGAAGAAACCAAGCAAATCAGAGGGCAGAGAAGGATGGCACAGACAGGGGTAAGTAAGACTGAGACAGGATACCAGAGGTGTTGCTCTGACCATAGCAATACGAGTGATGGGACATTTGAAGATCAACATGAATGCCTTGATCACAACGTAGCGCAAAGAAAGACAGAACTAAATCCTGGCAGACTCCGTGCTGACTGTCAAACTGATAGGAAGTCACTGACCTCCGAATCGCCTACCCAGTGAAGCCGATAAGACTTAGTCCTCTCATGTCGTCAACCCAACCCGACAAGACATCCATCAGTCTACCCGGCCATCTATGGTAGAGTCCACTCTACATACAGTCCCCGATGCCCCCTCAAAACGAGTCCTGATCGTTGCGAACCAGAAGACAAGACAAACTACGTCGTATAGCGAGAAACCCGGCCAAAAGCAACACCGTGAACAGTCGATGAACAGTGGATCAACGTGCTGAAGTCTTGTTCGGGAACACATCCACGGATATCGTCTTCTATGTTCAACAGGGCAAGTGACTAGTCAATAACCTGAATGGGGCAATGGGAATACCGAAAGTGACCACTACAGAATCAGATCTGCTCTCAAGTGTGCAGAACCAGAATATGCTGCAACGTTTATGACTCATTCGACATAATGCCACTGGACCCCAGCCTGTATGTTGACTCTGACTCGTCTGGTCCTGGTCTAGCTAACAAATCGCAAACTGATGGAACATGGTACACGAAACAGAAACAGATAATGACAGCCACATATTCTATTTATACGGCAGCAGAAATGCGAACGATCCCTATGCCACATCTCTGTGCCACTGCAATTCTTCCACCCCACCAAGGAATAAGACCAAGCACCCGATATCGCTAAAAATTCTCCAAACGGAAAGTCCACCAAATGCTGAGGGGGAATTACTGCAACGGCGGGCCAGCTGTAGGATTACCAACTTCCCGATTTGTCCAAGGCATGCAGGGAAAAAATATAAATAANAGATGAGAAGAATACGTAAAGCAAAAAAAAAAGACACAGAAAAAAAAAGATAGACATAGCATGTCCTGGTTTCGATCCAGGGTCCTGTTGTGATTGTTAGTTTGATGTTTGTGGGTGAAATTGTTTGCGGTGAAACGTACCTCCGGGTTATGAGCCCGGCGCTCTTCCCCTGAGCTAACATGCTGGGATGTTGAAATTTGGACCTTTCTTTGCCTACATCAAGAAAGATTGCTCCGAGGAAAAATAACAAGCAGCAACTTACTTCATTGTGCATCAAAGTTACGCATCATAATAGCTCTAACTCACGAGACCTCTCTCCTGGCCAGGTCAAGCCCGGAATTAAAAGGTTGGTTAAACATTGACGCAAAATGGATTTGTTTGCGAGGGTTTATTTATAGAGAAATCTGATGCCCTGGATGTAAGTTCTATTTGAAGGGCTATATCATCACTGTCAGATGATAAGGCAGTTTGTGGTCATCTCGAAGGCTGCTTCTGTTGTAAGCCGATATGATAGCCTCGGAAATTCATCTATACGAACTCTGTACTCCGTACATTAAACCATGGCCTCTTCCTAAGTAGGGATTAACCTTGTTTGCGACTGGACGCCACAATGCTAGTATTTACTTTCTCTTTCCTGTTCAGGAAATACCGATGTCTTGCAGCTTGCCGTCTCATTTTCAAGACGGCATCCTACAGCCCCAGCCTATAGGCTCATTGCTATCCGTGGAGTCAAGCTTAACATTGTTGCATAACTTTTATTCGTTGGAGCTCTGAGACTTTCAATGTAACCGCATATCCTTGTGTCACAAACAAGCATGGTACAGAAACGACTCTATATCTACCTATAAATACCAGCCTCGTGCTCTCTATAGCCAAATTCTAGGAGTTGAACTTCTATCCACCCCAAGGGCCAATCCGCTAGGATTTTCCAAGGGTCTGTCAAAATTACTGTCACAAGCAATGAACCTGGAGGCTGGCTCATGGAGTGCCTGGTCATCAATGGGCCCCTGTTTCTAACTCTATACGGTGTAGGTATCAGATATGAACAAAACATAATTACTGTGTATTATTATACCATCAATACCATCAGAGACATGTGGCATTCCGGAATGCAGAGATAGATCGTGGCTAGCATCTAAAATCCTGGAAAACACGTGTACATAGGCAACCAAGTAAGGAGTTTGCCATCCCTTGCTGTCATAAGTTGCATAGCCACAACTATTTCCCCAACAAAGCTCCTTGGAGCCTCCTTTCTGAATATTCCTGACTCAAGATGACGAAGCATATAGTATGTGCATACGCGGCTAGCCTTGAGGATCTAAACAGACACGTGATAGCCCTTCGAAATTGCCAAGGTGTGAGTCAGAACAACCAGTCAGTGTTGGTAATCCCGGATGACGAACACCGGGATAATCAATAATCAGAATCAGCCACAACAAGATGCGCAAAGCCAGAAAAAAAACTATGCGAATACGAATCTGAAAACAGGAGCATCCTCCGACGACGTCGGCGATGCCCGGAGGCCGACATTCCGGAACGAAAATAGAAAGCTTCCAGAAGAATGAAAACACCAACGCTTTACTAAATGCAGCACTAGTGGCATGCATAAGCCACGGAAATTCCTTCTGGAACATACCAGAAATACCGAATACGATTACATGCAGATCGTGGCTACCCCAAGTGCCGTATTGTAACAGGTTAAACCGGCAACATGAGCGGCGTAACGGCTGTACCGAAGAAGTGGCTGTGCAGCCTTAGCGTCATGGCCAATCAATTACATTGAAAATTTTCACTGTGCATTAGACTGTTACTAAATATGATTCCTGCATGAGCATCGCCGAGAAACCCGGATTTAAAGTGCTGACATAGGGTTTGATTTTTGCTTTTGGTCGGAATTAGATGCCGGTGAAAAATTTTTCTCCGTGTTTTTCTAAATCCTTATGCAGGGGCCCTCTATTGGGAACAAGTAACAGGATTGATGCTTGCTCAATCGAGAAGGAGGTTATGCACATTGTAAACAAGGGTACCTTCGGTACGGAGTAGGCAAATCCGCCCTCAGATCTACATAGTATTCCACTCTATCTGAGTGGGCCATTGAATCTGGATACTTGGATCAGCTGAGGCTGGTTTGCCACTTCCCCGGACTCTGCAGGCCACGTTTTGGTGTATGCTTGAGGAATTTGCCAAGATTTTCCTCGATCTGTCCACGGAAAAAGGGAGATCAGTTGGATTTGGGCCAGACTGGTCGGTAAGCACGGCAGACCCCGGACCCGGGTTCGCGTGTCCAGACCGAGAAAATCATCTAGCCCCGAAAACATGCCGGTCGGATGTATGTTGCGCTAGTGGATTTCAAATGGATTTCAAACGGAGATCCTTGGAGGTCACATGGCACCTGGTAGACTATTGTTGCTGCCTTCTGTTTTTGTGCATAAACGAAATCTACAATGTAAGCTGGACAAGTCGGGGTTTGCCGATACTGCTCGGTTCGGAGGCCCTTGATCTGCAATCTGATACCCTGGCATTTAGCGTCCAAGCCATATGGATGCATATGCACGGTTGAAGGGTGACAGCGCTAAAACAGAAAATTTCAAATGTAACCCGTAGTACTCCGTACATGGCATTCTTACCACGCTACTCAAGGTGTTCCGCGTGCCACAAAGGCCGCGCTAACAATGTATCTAATCGAGAGAGGTCCGAGCACTATGAAAAAATTAAGAAAATACCAAAATCAACATCAATATTTCAATTTAATACTCCAATCAAATTCTCAACACTTTCTGAGTCAAAGGGGAAAACATATGATTCACATGTGATCGAGTCATTGAATCATCGAACAATGCAGACCAGAAAATTAAGGCAATCAGCCCACAGTAAAGAGACCATGTGACCATGATCTTAGAACCTTGCGCATAAGATTCTTGTGTAGCATAGCAATAATAAACCCAAATTGGGCATTTCTCGCCGAGCCTATGCCAGAGCTAAGTCCTGTAAAGACAAGTGCTTACTTACATCTGGGAACAAGTGTAAGACATGGGAAGTATACACGACAGCCCTTCGCTTAAGACCAAAAAATAAAAATAAAATAAAATAAAATAAAAGACCTATGGTGACTCAAGATCTGGGGTCAGCTGGTCATCAAGTTCCTATATACAAACAAGATCCATGGACCCGTGTCCAACTTCAGCTTATCATGCCATTACCTAGGTAGACCTCGGGATGCATGGTCAGCTGACTATCGCGTCTGTCGAACTACGGCCGAGCGGAACCCACCGATTGGCGCGGAGTGGGGAGACATCGCAAGACAATCCCAAGACAATCCCAAGACAACAGGAAGACAGTTGAGAGACAATTACTTCACAGCCACAATCTTGAGTATTCGAGTCTTGGAATAATTGGGTCCGAGGATGAAGAAACAAGAAGAATGTGCTCTGTAGGTTTTCCCCCATGTTGTGCAGGAATGAACGTTGGGACGGCCGTCCCGAACCATTGGGCACCAGCCACATGGCTCACTCTCGATGTGGCTAGTGTCCATACAGAAAGTAATATGGACAAATAATATTATTCCTCGGCTGAACAACTCTCCGGGTTTCAATTTCACATCTTTGGGTACTCTACGGAGTACGG